TTTGAACATAATTCGTTCGACAGGATTTTGAGGAATGATAATGTAAGGTCTAAGTTACTGTATTTTGCGTTATTTACGTACACAATGTACTATTATTCTTTTTATTTGTTCTTGTATTTTTTCGGATATTTAATTTGCTATATCCCAGAAAGTATTATGGACACAAATATTATTTTTTGATATTCATATGCAATTCCTCAAGGTCTTAATTTATTCAAAATTAAAAACAAATCGTCAGATCTCCTATTTACGTACCTGTTGCATGCACCTCAAACCCATCAAAAATACCAGGCGTATAATTTGATACCCCAAACATTTCATTTCATTTACCTGTGTTTGAAGTTATTGCAAATGGATGGTAATTTTGTTCGAGCATATTGTTTTTCTTTAATTGTTTAACTTTTCTTACCGATACCACATGTTACTTTTATTATTCTTCCCTTAGTTTATTTATTTTATATTTACATTGTGTCATAGGTCAAATTTATTTGTTCAGTGTATGTTCAATGGTGTTAATATGTCCTTTGATTGAGTTAAGCTATTTCAGTTGATATTTTATAGTGTGTCTTTCTATGTTGTGATGTTACACTATTGTTTCAGAAAAAAGGTGAAGGTTTGGTACCATTAAAACGTTTAAACCCGCTGCATTTGTTTGCACCTGTTCTTAGTCAGGAATCTGATGTTCAGTAGTTGTCGTTTGTTGATGTGGTTCATAAGTGTTTCTCGTTTCTCGTTTTTTATATAGATTGGACCGTTGGTTTTCCCGTTTGAATGGTTTTACACTAGTAATTTTTTGGGGCCCTTTATAGCTTACTGTTCGGTGTGAGCCAAGGCTCCGTGTTGAAGACCGTACTGTGACCTATAATGGTTTACTTTTATAAATTTGACTTGGATGGAGAGTTGTCTCATTGGCACTCATACCACATCTTCTTATATCTATTAATTAAATGAATACATTTGATTAAAGGCAATATATGCGTCACTACTTTCTATTGTTTCATGGCATGAACTCATTGTTAAAAAAAAATGCAATTTCTTAAACGTACTTTTCAAAACAATATATTTGTTTTGTGTTATTGCAACTATATTAAACAACCTTATCGAGCGCTCGCAAACATGGTTGACCTCCCCACATAATGTATTTGCCTGTCACAAACGCAGAGCTTGTAATTCATTCAGTAGTCTTTGTTGGTTGTCGTGTGTCATATTTAATTTTCGTTAATTGTTCAATCATGAATCAGGCAGTCGATATTTTCGTTTGAATGAATTTACATTTTTTCTTTTCCGTGCCTTGTATAGATTACTTTACGGTAATGGTTTTGCGCATTTGTGTTGCTTACATCAACGTATCGGAAAGGGAACGTTTTGTTTTTAGGTTAAAATGTAAAATTCAAAGTTGCTGTTACTTAATTGTTTACCAAACATTGTTTTTCCGATAACCGCTGGTTATAAATAAATACATTCATAGAAAGAGAAAAGTTGTATATATTTTAATTTCAAAAATCAAGGTCACAGCTACTTGAAAAAGGCAAATTATAAACAATATGCTATTATATTTATGTGTGATTAATTCAGGTACACTTGTTCGATTAAAAAACTAATCATGTAAGTGCTAGACACAGATGCAAATCCTATTTAATTTGATGTTAACAAAAAGTCACAATTACGAAAAAAAACAGCTATATTTTACATTAATTTTTTTAAATGTTGGTTTCTATCACGGTTTTGTTTAAAGAATATTTAAATTTGAGATTTGCCGCCTATACCTAATGGGCTGCAAGGGACAGAGAATCCTTGTCAACACATTTGTTTGTATGGGGCAAAAGGGTGGTTTTTTTATATCAGGGCTCTCTAGCAAACATTTTACACACATGATACGTAAAGATTTAAATTTTAAAATTAAAATTAATGGTTTCTTGATATTTTATACAATTGTATCAGCCATGTGACCCCTGCTATCCTTTTATTAACCTGATGAGTTAGCCAAGGTCCAGGGAACCACTGCAAATATACATTTGCTCCTAAGGATTTTCTGTATATTATGACTTTATAGAGACAATTTAAAACAATTTATAGTATACTAGTACCAAGACTTTTTCAGTAGTATTATAGGGTATGTGAGGAGTCATCCAATAATGTGCGGTTCAGGGAGCATATTAACTATTTTTACTTTCCTAGTTTTTGAAAGAAAAAAAGGTGCCATTGTTAAAAGTATGAAAATCTAGAATGGAACATTTCCCTCCAATTTTCAATTGATTAAATCTCAAAAACAAGGACACGGACCTTTCATTTTTTTCTGCGTTTAAAGTTCCGTTATTTTTAGACTTTAAATTTATAGCAGTCTTTTAAAAAGCTTGTCATTCTGAAACAGAAAACATTAATCATGAAATATCCAAAAGAACATAAATTGTCCTATGAAATTCAGTTTTATTATCTGCCATTGCTTTTTAAAGGATCTTTTGAAAATTTTAAATACACTCAACGACACTTAATTGATTGATAGTTTAATCCTTTAATTTCAAGTTTAAGATGTTTCTGTTGTATATTGAATGATACTTGGTGAAATATTTTTTAAACTAAAAAGTATTTTTGCATCATGCCCAGAAGATATGCTCAAAACAAGACAAAGTAAAGATCTACCTAAACATGTAAACTCAGAACAAGAAATGTTCAAATCGATTCCGAAAATAAATAATTATTTTCGAGAAAAATTAATACTACATTTTAGAAAAACTATTGGATTCTAAGGCGTATTTTCTTATGCTATAATCTTGATATCGATACTTATAATAATTCATTTGATCTTATGCATATACAAATATCACATTTTGGCACTTGTTCACAAATGGTGTTAAGATCTTAAATCTTGTAAAACATAATTGAATGGTCACAGATAAAAGTTACTGTAGTTATCGCTCTTTGAATTCCAATAATTCAAATAATCTCAATGCAGGAATTCATATAACAAATATTGTTATAGGTTGACATTGTCTCTATTTATTGTTAGACATTTCTTTGCACGAATGATTAACCTACAAAAAAGAAATTCTGGTCGGCTGTTATTGTTCATCTAGGCAACAAGGTATTATCTTATTAGTTAGCAATTCAGAAGTATTTTAATCAGGAGAGCTTTATATATATGTATGTTTGATATAAGGTTCAAATAAGTCATCAATTCCATAAAATCTACACAAAAAACGAACCGCAGACAGGTATAGGTAAACGTTTATCATTGGAAATGAAAACTGCAAAATTCATGTTTATGAGAAATATTGAAGAACCGGGTAGTCGCATTATTTCTGATTTAATCTAGTTATACTACTTGCATTAGTTAACCCCCTTGTAAAATGTTACAATTTGAAATTGGCATAGTATTTAAACAGTTTTGTGGTTCTATTGACCTGACTATGATTTTGTTTTTATCGTTTATTGGTGCGTTCTAAATTTCGAGTTAAGAGTGTTTTCCCGGATATTTTAAGTGATTGGTCAATTACATTATTACAAGAAAGCATTGTAAGGTATTTGTGTCCGTCTTTCAGTGTTTATCTGACCTTTACTATAATTCCACTATTATTGATCACCGTGATATGTTCGTGATTTTGTCCATTTTGCAGATACCTAACACAAAATAGGGTTTGCAGAAAGATTGTAATGTGTACATGTATACCTGGTAGGATTTGTTTTTAACATGACCTTTATTTAATTGGTTACGTTAAATTTTCGTTACGTATTCGTTGTTAGGTCCGTTTTTCGGATTCTTTAAGCAAAAGGTCAACTGTATTCGGTGTATTCAGTGAATTGTTTGACCTTGTTTTCATTTTCATGGTTAATCGGTCGACGTACAGTTTCAGTTTTCGTATTCATGGCACGCATTATTAATGCCAAGGTAAAATATATGGTGTGGTAAAATGTTTATATTTTCATTTATAATGTTAAGATTATGTGGTACATGAAATGAGATCTCTATCCTTAAGACTTTGAACACTTACATTAAAATGTGATCAGTAAAACTGGGAAGACATTGTAGCGTGCGCCCCCTTCTTTGATTTTTTTTTTTGGTTATCTATCGATAATTCATTCTGACCACAAAACTATTTAAATATCACTGAAATTCCAAATATTTTGGAAAACGAATGATAAACAATTTCCACATGTGGAGCAGGATCTGCTTAACCTTCCGGAACACCTGAGATCACCCCCAGTTTTTGGTGGGGCTCGTGTTGCTTAGTCTTTAGTTCTATGTTGTGTCATCTGTACTGTTATTTGTCTGTTTGTCTTTTTATTTTTGGCCATGGCGTTGTCAGTTTGTTTTCGATCTATGAGTTTACATAACTATTCACCACGTTTAGCACAAAATGAGAGCAATGATTCCTGGGTATTAATCTCTGAAACATCGATTTAAGTCGAAAAGCTATCTAGCTTTGCTAATTTTACTATGAATAGAATTTCTAAGGCGAAACTCTGGTCTGTGTTAATTAAGTTTGCCAATCGATGGACTCTGATGCACTTCCTATATATTCATCTTATTTCAATAGCTGTTTCAAGATAGAAGAGGTAGAAATATCTTAAAAAAACATAAGAAGTTTTTTGGACTCGATTTTAGATTTGAATATTCGAATGTACTAACTCTTCTTCTTTCTCGTCAACAAAGGAGTTTTCTACATGTATACTTGTAGTCTATGTAACACAATATATTCACAATAGCATCTCTTTATGTATTGCTCTCTAGTTTAATGAATATCAGAAAAATTAACAAACAAAAAGATAGGAACAAAGTATATACCAAAGGCACCATTTCCATAAGTTCCTAATGATTGGTTAACAGAAATGTTTGTACATTGGTACTCTTTTTATATTCAGTGTGTATTACCGAAACGGTAATTAAAATATATTTACATTTACTCAATATGTATTACCAGTATCATTCAGTAATGTCTCTTTTCATGCATTATGTCATGTCAAACACATAATATTTTACTTTTTGCAAATATAAATAGTTTGAATGTCGAACGTTTCGGTTCGTTAGTTATCATATATAAATAACTCTGACAACTTTTATGTCTTTGATTTGATTTTTGTTTTACTAGAGACTTAAATGATTTACCTTGATACAACGAAATTTATAAAAACTATATAGCAAGATGAATAGAATATGGATACTGTTTGTGCTGGGATATTCGTATGTGAATGCAAACTACCAACTTAATGGTAAGTATCATTTTTACTACTTCACAATTAATTATACACCTATTTAAAAAAAAAAATATTGAATTATATTTATAAAAATGATAAAAAGATAAAAGTAATAACAATATTTGAATAAGACATCTTGTCTATTTTTTTTTTTTGGTGATGCCTTAACTGATATCAAATATGAATGACAATATCTATTTGATTTAAATTTTTGCATGATTACAGTGAAATTGAAAAGCATGAAACCCTAATTGAGTTAGTTTTTATTATGTTTTATATATCCTCATCAAAATAAAAAATATTTAACAAAGATAAAACGAATAAAAAACTAATTGATACCACTCATATTTCTTTCATATTGTATTATGAACAAGTTCAGTTTTCAACTTTTCTTATTGCATTTAATTTCAAAATGTCTATATTAAATTCGAAGTTAGTCCTTCTATTCTTTCTAAATGGTCCTTTGTGTTTTTCGTATTGTACAAATGTAGCAGTTTATAGTCCATTGCCTCATACACCATTGCATAACGTGAGAGATGTATCTAGCTATAAAACCAGGTTTAATCCACCATTTTCTAAATAAAGAAATGCCTGTACCAAGTTAGGAATATGCCAACTATTTTTTTATATTCTTTTGATGTGTTAGAGCTTTTGATTTTGACTTTCCGTTTTGAATTTTCCTTGGAGTTCTGTATTTTTGTTATTTCACTTTTACATTTAAAAGTCTATGAACAAAAATACTAAACCTCAAGGTAGTATCAAAAAAAAGGGTCCATAAAACTTGACAAAACCAAAGACTCAACTATATGAACCAACGGATCGACTGAAAAACAACTGTCATATTCCTGTCTTGATACAGGCATTTTCTCAAAAAAATGGTGGAGTTACCTGGTTTTTTAGCAAGCTGAACTTCTAACATGTATGACAGTTGTTTTTAGTTCCTTCATATTGACAAAATTGTTTGAGCAACCCAAATGGACATAATTGCAATAAATACAAGGAATACCAACTGAAAATAACACTATAGAAACTTCATTTATGAGTTAATTACTGAGCTGCGCATGAGAATGGAATACTTCTACTACTACTACATTGTACTAATGATAATAATTAGAATTATGATAACAAATATAATCAGAAAATCTCAACATTTATATAAATCCTTTGCCTTACCATTTGGGAAAGATGTATCAAAGAAACTATCTTTTCTACACATTGTACCGAGTAGCTGATAATTTATCTATCAGCAAAAAATCCCGATAATCTGTTTAACGTGCTTTTCTGGTGTTTATTCCTAAGCCTACGCAAACACAGTTTTAAACTCGACGAAAGAAAGCTTAGAAATGTCTCCTCGCACATATTGACGTCGTTGATTACTTTTCCGTAGACATTGTGACCTCGCTAATAATTTCGGCTGACATCGCAAAGCCGTGATACACTGAGCTACTGAGCAGAGTGACAAAGGCAATAGCCATACTGACGACTTTAAGTCGAAACCTCCTTATTGCACCTGTAATAGTTCCCAATATATCACCCCGATAGCTGGACACATTGATATGGTTGACCTGAACATTGTCATCTACACTTATCAGCGGGAAATGTTAAGAAAAGGACAATAAAACCGTTAGCCGAAATTCATCAATTTAAAACACAACGCTTAAAAGAGATGTAAGATACAAAGGTGGCATTTAAAACTAATTAGTCGAAGATAAACTGATAACGCATTGAGAAAAAAAAAAAAAAAACGAAAGACCAGTCAATGGGCTAAATGCAAAATAAAAAAGAAAAGCTAAAACTCTATCCGAACGTGTTAAGGCCATTGTTTCAAATTAAATTGAAAAAACTAAATGGGTCTGAGTATCTGGCCTTATTCAATAACACATATGTTGTTGTCCATGCAGAACTGCGTTTTTGTGTGAAAAACTATCAAATTATGTAAAATGCTTGATAACTATACAAGGTGCTGATATTTCTCTTGGTAAGCCAAGATATAATACCATAACTCTTACAAAAGAGAACATCCTGAATAATTATAGGTCTGCTCTTTGTTTATTTTCAGTTTTTAAGATCTGGATTTTTGTTGAAAGTATACTATACCAAAATAACATAGATGTATTTTCAAACATAGTTATATTGTTGAGTCTGCCAATTGTTCCGATGCTCCTCTTTCCAAATTAATTATTAATATCAATTTTACATGTTTTATCAGTAATCTAAAGTCAGGTTTCAGATTTACTGTAAAACTGCTTACATACGGGGCTGTGTGGATTAGATTTGGATAATAAATAATTCCTACAATCTGCTTTATTGACATCCCCATTTTTGAATATAACTTGCAGTTCAGTATGTTTGTTGATACTTTTTTGTATAGAGTATATGCCTTCTAATAACCGTTCTTCCCTTTACACAAGTATTTCACATTCTTATCTAAGATTAGAATAACAAGTCAAACTTTATTTCATTGAAAATAATGGCCATTGTAGAAACAAATATATCTTGTTACGGGAAAGGAAAAATCCCACTTTGTAAATAAACCCACTGTGATTCAAAAGAACAATGTTCTGAAATTGACACCATAAAGATGATGTTCAGTTTTTGTCGTTTGTTGATGTGGTTCATAAGTGATTCTCGTTCCCGTTTTTTATATAGATTAGACCGTTAGTTTTCCTGTTTGGATGGTTTTACGATAGTCATTTTGGGGCCCTTTATAGCTTGCTGTTCGGTGTGAGCCAAGGTTCCGTGTTGAAGGCCGTACTTTGACCTATAATGGTTTACCTTTACAAATTGTGACTTGGCGGTCATGATAAAACACGGACACTGACCTAATATTAAAAATAAGGATAATAAACTTGTGTTAAGAAAAAATATATACATGGTTCCCACGTGTTCGCTTTTAACCAATGATATCCCTAGAAATGTATAGGATGTAAAATCAATATTTATCACCAGCTTAGTATATTTCTCAGATTTCGATTGGCTAATGACACGTCGTTAAAAAACCCATAGTCCCGGGTATTGCTAATCCTTATACCTGGGCGTTGCTATTCATTACCCTGAAGATTTTCACGCGCATTTAACCTGAATCTCCGGATTTGGACTAAGACTGGGGATAAATTCGTTCTCTACGTTCATATCTGTAGATATGGGTCTTTTAACGCTCTTCGGTACCCTTTACACTATAAGGCTTCGCCTCAGGTTGTACTGGGGTTCCTCGTGGTGTTAAAATACCTAAACTATCTAGGGATATGAATGTAGATAACTTATAATATATGCCAGTAAATACGATTTCGTTTTTTGTTATCGCGTTTTCGTCTACTGTATTATATAGAGTTTCTCTGTCATTGAAATGTATATCAAAACTACATAAAGTGTTATTAGAGATGACCAGGATATTGACGAACGAACTTATCTCGACGAATGAACGCAATGGGAGCGGTAATTGTTTGCTTACAAACGTACTTAAAACTTAAAAGATGTTATCATGTGTAAAGTGTATTTGAATGCAATCACGTTAATAGATAAAAACGCATAAAATATACCGATTTTAGAAAAAGGTTTTCATAATGTAAATGAAATACGTTTACAAGTTTCCGAAAGTGTTACATATCATACGATGCAATGTGATTGTTCGTTATTGTTGAAAGCACGATGAAATGTACGTCACACATAGGATTATTCGAGCGCAACGACAACTTTTGCAATGTTCAAACAAATACAAATGCAAAACTTTGATGAATTGATATATTTTACAACATTATTGTTGTCCGATCGTATGTTTGCTCTGTGTTTTTATTGGGTATTCAAGTTTCAGGAAAAAAAATCTATCAGATTATAATAAAAAGAAAAACCGCGTTTTGTACCAATTAAAACAAAAAATATTTCTGTTGCAAACAATTTTTTATCATATCTGTCATCCTCTAACGATGGAAAAAACTTTTTTAGTGTAAAAAAACTAGTCATAAGAGAAAATAAGGTATTTTTTAAGGGAATTAACTAGACTAAAGGCATAAGTGATCCATTAATGACGCATACGAAGACATTAAATATATTTTTAAAGCCTTACAACTATTAAGATGAAGAAAAAATGAGTAAGTGCATAGTGGATAGGATGCAATGAGTAAGTCCATAGTTGATAGGATGCAATGAGTAAGTCCATAGTGGATAGGATTAAAATTTATAAAGTCCAAACACCTGTTCCTTCGGGAAAATTAATGGACCGACACATACTTCGTCTGATATGGCTTGTTTGATAAACATGCAAAATTTTGCGTAGATTGTTGAAGTACGTTTCAAGGAGTTGAGTATTTAAACTATCATGGGTTTATAAAAAATAATCAGAAAGCAAGTCATATGATTGATAAGAATATCATTTAGATGATAGTACGTCAACCTTTGTTTGTTTCGGAATTCAGATATATTGCCTTTCAGTTTTGCTCAACTCATGTGGGAAACCAGGGTATTTCTGTCCTTGCCAAGGGACTAGTCATTTGCATCCTGAAGGAGGGAGGAGGAAATTATAGGGGCCTCGAAAATTTTGGGTATGGGAAGGGGTGGTATTCAATATTTCAATACTTCAAAAGCATCGAAAAAAAATTACAATATTTTAGCTGTTCTGTATTTCAAATATAAACAAATTACAGCTATAATTTGATAAAATACTTTAAATCAGTATCTGACTATTCAACAGAAGTGACTAACACTTGATTCATATGTCATATCTATAACTATTGTGTCATAATTTTTGGCTTCAAACTTCATATCAATATTTAATGTTATATTCATGTGAGTCTTGACCATCTTCTGTTTGTTTTTTGGACATGGAGAATGACAATAATAGAGAATAATGGTTTGATGTCTTTCAGGTTTTTTTTAGGATTTTCTCGAAATTCTTCTAACTATTATACCCCTTTTCATATCATAAAAGCACTGATGAAATTAATAGTTGTTTCGTTACATGGTTTATCGCAAAACTTATGATTGAGCATATATTTCGATGGTTCAAGATGATATCTAGGAGTCAAGTGTTGCATTTTTAGTACATCTTAACGTTAATAATTTTCTTTCTGACCTGGAGGTATGGAGTCAGGCGACCCACAACCAACGCTTCCCCTTACCATAAAGAAAATAATTTATTTTAGCAGGAAATACATACATTTGTTTCGCCTCGCTCCGCTCGGCTCAATTGTTAAGAAAAACACCTAAAGTCTCAACATGTTCTTCCAGGAAAGTATTTGTATCTGAAGTTTATTTATTAACTTTTTTAACAAAGAATATTAACAATGTGCTGAAATTGAAAGAAAACAAATAAAAGTAATTCAGATGTTTCCTTCCCCTCCTAAATGAAAGAAAAAGACCAATCCCCAATAACAAACCTTAGATTATTTTTAACTTAAAAATGTGGAAACGATTTCGTTCAGTTATATACGTATTGATCATCAATCATATTAATATAGTAAACTTCAATATCTATCCTATCACCCTTTCCTTACCCCCCAAAACTCATCAAAACCCCTTTTGAAACCTCAATTGTCAAAGCAGAGGCTTGGATATTGAGTGCACCATTTGCTATTGTAGAAAACATTGAGTTATTAATGAGAGGAGTTGGATACAGATACAGGTGATATCTTCTTTAAACTTCATGCAGACGATGCGAATTACCATACATCTGTCGTTCATCTAGGGTTTTTATGTTAGATTAATACATTACTATGTATAAAACAAAAGCTCCCGGTTCGTACGATTCGTCAAGTTACGCTTTCGTTCGTTCGTCAATATCCTGGTCATCTCTATTGATAGAAAGTGAGGGACTGTCATCACAGAAGGTAGATTTTGAAACACTGCACGTGAAAAAAAAACAGACAAGTAGATACTAACACATTTTGAAATTAACCTACATTTTGTTACCTACAAATAACTTTCAAATGTTAAATTGTAAATAGCTTAAGAATAGTCTAGTGATCTGTTTTCTATTGAATGGGTAAATAGCTATGTCAAAAAGCCATTTAATATCGTCCAAAAGAAGGTGAATGGCCTTGCATTGCTAGTTGAAATTGATATTATGGATTATGTTAGACATTCTTGATTTAAATTACATTTATCACAGGGGGTCATCTTTGTAAAAATATAAACAAATTTCATTTTACACAAGACATTTGCTTTTAATAAAATTGTGCGGTGTGCATAAAAAGGAATACAATTTCTTTTAAATGTAAAATAAAGGTCTATATAAAATGTTATCAATGATACCAAGTTTATAATATATCAGCTATCAATATATGTTGAGTTTGTATTGGATACCTCAGTAACTTCACAAAACTCCGTACAAACAACTGTACATTGCCGGCTCATCTGCATGTTCTACTTAGGAATTGTCCGTTATATTAACCAAATATGGTCCGCAATGAAAGGGATATTACTCTGGTGTTTTGGTGGGGTTCATCATGTTCATGTTGCTCAATCCTAACGTTTTCTATGTTGTGTTTTTTGTACTGTTGTTTGTCTTTACGTCGTTATCGTTTTACTCCTGGAATTGTCAGTTTGTTTTCGAATTATGAGTTTGAATATCCCTTGGTATCTTTTGCCCGTCCTTTACATACTGCGACAATTTTTTACTCGCGTATTGGCATAAACCATATGTGAATTCTTAAGAACTCAACAGATCGCCTGGAAAATTTTGAATCTCGATCATTCTCTGAAATTAACCCAACTTTCGATTTTTTCTACCCTTTACACCACCATTACACATGAAAAATAAAATACATTTAATCATAATGTATTCATCTATCTTCTCTTATCTCGTGTTTGTTTATGTTTTTTCTGTGTTTTTTGTTGTTGTTTATGAAAAAAGAATACCTTTTTGGTTTGATTTTTGTTTTTGCTTGTTTATGTTTGTTTTGGGGATGTTTTATAGTGTTATGATTGGGTTGTAGTTTGGATTAAATACCGGTATCTGTTATCAATTGAATATCATAGATATTTATAATAACAGAAATTGACCTTGTATATTTATTTTATTTAGTGAACTATATATTTGAATGAGAAAGTTTGATAATGATTCTTATTGCTATGGTGTTGGTATATTGCAGATTACAGTTACCATCCCTGTATACGTCCATGCGGTATCAATACTAGAAAGACTTGCGAATATACGTTTACTTTAGAATACTATTACACATTATCGAAAGCATGTTACGACTGCCCATTTAACGCTTCTGATTGCAAGAGACCACACTGCGTTCCTGCTGATGGATCGACTCGTCCAATACTGACAGCAAACAGGATGCTACCAGGACCTGGAATTCACGTAAAATCTCATTTAACAAGTTTTGATGCATGTATACCTGTTTTTGTTGAGGATTGTTTATCTCTAGAGTCCTTGATCTGCTTGAATCGTAACGTTGTTGTCTCATTGACGTAAAACTCTTATTTTATTCGTATGCATACATTTACTTTTTCGAACATTGATTTTTAGAAATTTGACAAGCAAAGGAATGCATTATTATAAATTAATTCACTTTTACAATACATATCTGAAAATTATCTTAGCGCGTGATTTGTTCTATGATGGCTTCTAAAATACATTCAGTTAAGATATTTTTTTGACACCAAGAGCCAGCATGCACTGTTTCAGCATTTTCCCGCTGATTTCTCTCTTTTTATATCTCACTTACGAAAGTGGCAAAAATATGATAAACGTTATTATTTCGGCGTTGATGTCTGCGCGTTCACAACTGAACTGTTTTTATATCTTAAGCCAGAATCATTTAGAGTTGTTGAATTCTATAAGTAACGTTGAGAAAGTGTCATGATCTCCGAGCATAATAAATAGCAGCAGTAATTCATTGTATAAGCCTTTAGATGGCCTACTACATTACCAAATGTATGCTTGTATCGAACTTTGAAATTAGTCTGCGGCAGTTCAACATTTCCACTCTTCATATGCATAATCATCAATCAATTTTTCAACTGTTAATTTTAGCATACTGATGAGTCTAATATAGACAAAAGTCGTCTGATCTGACATTGTAAGCCTAGTGCCGTTATCAAGTTTTTGTAATAAAGGAAATGATAAAAAAACGTAAAGATAAAACGACACGAAATAAGAAAAAAATAGCATCAATAAAATCAAAATCACATAACGTACAAGAACAACTAAAGAACATAAAAACAAAATTATAAAACGTAAAAACACATGTTACGTAAAGACACAACCAAATAACGAAAGATGAAACTACTAACGTATAAATATAAACCCGCACCCGTTTTTTCTGTATTACGTAGCAATTCAATCACACCAACAATGTCCTATTTCCTTCGTACTTTGTATTTGCATAAAAGTAATTTCAATGAATAAAAAGATGGATCGTTTTCTGATTGCAGTTTTAACTACAGTAACGTTTGCTGTGATGAATGCCTTGTAGTTAAAGGTGCAATGCACAAGGAAAAATACTTAATAATCTTTTTCATGCAACAATGATTATAAAAATACCCAGGATTCTGGAAAACAATTTTTTTTTTTAAATCAGTCGTATAAAAGATATACACGGAATCTTGAAATTGTTATTAAAATGCAGCCTCTACACTTTCTACTTTAATTTACCATCAATCTTATTTAAATTACAAACCTATAAGATTTTGGAAACAGGAAACAGCAAGCAGAAACGTTTTTGCAGATTGTAGTATTTTGGAAAGTGTATGATCAGTTATGATTGACTGCTTTCCGAACAATATGAATGATCACTATAATAAAGAGATAACGAGATGAAATTCCTTTAAACTCAATTATTCAGAAATGTTAATTGTTGCAATTGTTTTGATTCTGAGTTTATCTTCAAATTAGATTACTTCTTTTTTCATAGTGTAAAGATGCTCTTATATACTTTGCTAAACGATATACAATCACTTTCTGAACAATTTCTGAACACTTATTCATCGATTAACCTGCACGAAAAAATTACTTCTAATCTTGTTATTCCGCAACATATCTAATATCTAAACATCTACTTGAAATCTTGAGTAAAGATTAAAATCTTTTATATTCAAACGAGTTGACAATTTCAGTATAAAACATATACAAGTACGTGTGTTAGATGCATGCAAAAGGCTATTTTATGTCTCATGTAATTTTAAAAAAAGGGCTTACATTTGTTGATTCATGATCATATAATATTTGAGCAGGTTTGTCTTAACGATACAATAGTTGTGAATATAATAAACAACTTATTGGGAGGTGAAGGAGTATCAATTCATTGGCATGGAATACATGTTGAACCACATATGGATGGTGTGGCAATGTTGACACAGTGTCCAATTCCTGAATATTCATCATTCCAGTACAGGTATCTGTCTTTCATTTCATTAGCTTGAGCAAAATTGAATAGCAATAAATGTTCTCTCTTATGTCACAAGGCAAATACTCGAATATAATGTTTCCTTATCTCCTTCTCCGTGAAGAGATCTTCCACTTGGAAAATGATATGTCCTGTCATTAACGGTTTACGGCTTTCAGCAAATATCCGGCTTCGAGCGTTCCTGATCAAGGTAAATCCAAAAACAGTACTCATACAATTATTAAGCGTGATAATTTTCTTCTTTTCTATAGCACTTGGTCAATACCGTTGATTGTGGACTATGAGTCCCTGGGGTATCATAGGCTCAGTAGTTAGAGTTCGGTACCGACATGATTTATAATATACCTTTCTTAATGGTTCCTTTATAAATTAAGAAACTATTAGGCAACTAAGGTTCCAACTACCTCAGTCAAAGTTATCCTTAAATAGATTTGATTATTTATTAGGTCCTTTTCGGTCATATTGCTCTTTGCCTGTTTCGGTTTGGAAAAGACGTTACTAGGTTGAAAAACTTGTGTCTGGTGCATTTGTAATTTTGAACCAAATAAAATACGTTAAAACTTATCTTGTCTCGGTAACTGTCAAATAATCGGCTTTGGGCGTTCCTGGTGTAGGTACATTTAGAAAAGCGCTTCAGACAAATAAACGTTAGAAAGTGTTATTTCCATTTTGTTTCGGATGTGTAATTCTGTGTTGTTCCTATGAAACAAAATATCATTTACATTTCGAATGAATATATACTGTCTTAGAATTATGTATATTGTAAAAGGTGATTTCGTATGGGGATTATTTGTCATTCTTTGCGATCATAACAAAATCCACCAATACATCTCAATTGCAAGTTTGTACACATTAACAATATTGGGCTTAAAGTTCGATTCACGAAATTAATCCTCTTGCCAAAAGTTCATTCAATGAGATGACGAAAATTCCAAACCACGGAAACACCTACATGAACGCTCTATTTTTAAAAAAGTAAGTGTTTTATTGTAAAAAGAGTTGTTATGGGGATCGTATGGCGGTTTTATGTATAAGATGTCATATTGACAGCTCCTTTTCCATTTTAAAATTGATATAAGGTAACAATGAATATAACAACAAATGTTTAGGTAGGCAGCGCAAATACATTCTCATAAATAAATAATGTTAAGTAATTATAATGAGGTGTACTTATAAAATTTTCAAATATAATCTTTAAATTCTTCATTGTTGAACTCCTAGCAAAGATTTTATTTAAGTTTGCAAACGCATTGATATACGGCTTCTATCTAGTTATAAATAGCATAAGAGTATAAATCCCGCTTAAAACTCAATATTTCATGAAAAAAGAATCAAAATATGACAAAGCGAATGATTTAACTTATTGTAAAATGAAACTTATTTTTACTCCGATGCAATGTCAAATATACTTTGAATCGAAGACGTTGCCTGCCGATAAAATGGTCTAAAGAACCTTTAAACTGAGTAATAAAAATTCAAAGAAAAAGTAGGATCTCACATGTCAAGTACTTGAATAGTATAAAATATCTAACGTATCAATCATTCTAGAACGAGGGGGAGATATCAAAGGTCAATAAACACTATGAAAGACAGACAACACGATGGCCAAAATAGCAAAAGAACGTAACATTAACAATTCACAAAGACTACAAGGAAAACTGAAGATTTACTAACAAATAATCTAACCAAATACTGTAGGTGAAATCAAAGTGTTCGGATGAATCTGTAGTTTCTGATCCACTAGTGACTCTCGTTGTGCTGTACTGTTAGTCGTCATTTATCTTATGCATTACCCATATCAATCAATATTTTCATAAACCATCGGTCTGGTGAATTATGACCCTAAAATCGGGTCACATTTGAAGTTTGTTATGGATACACAGTCTCCATGGAAAATGTAGTATAATACTTTTATAGATAGAAACAACATAAACATCGGAAAATATAGACTTCAAAACAACTTTTAAGAGGTATTGCATAACATTTTAAGGAATCGGAATTAATAGTTTTGTACTTCACATTGATAATTTCAAATTATAAAAGTATTCTTAATAACAAAATTTGACAAAGTGACATTTAAAATTCCAAAATGAAATTTCCTTTTATAAAATTTCTTTAATACTTCGTATTTCTATTTGTTTACTCTACGTTCCAATTCCTTTGTATATATGTTATATTCTGCATGTCATTTAACGATCTAAACTCTTCTTAATTCACTTTTGTGTGATATAACTGATTATTTAAACCAAGTAATTAAATTTCCGTTCACCAAAATGTACAACAAGTGAAGCTACATTAAATATATATATATATATATCATAAATATAATTTATTTTTATTGCTGTGACTTACTAAGAGAGAACACAAACAATTACATGAAATAATTAGGCTATTTATTGTAGGTTCCTGGCTGTCACATCTGGAACACACTACTGGCATTCTCATGCGGGCATGCAAAATGCAGATGGTTTATTTGGACCTCTAGTTATCCGGGAACCACCAGAAATAGACGAGCATTTGGGGAGATATGATGTTGATGACCCAGAATTCACTGTTCTGATTAACGATTGGTTTACAGAAATGATGCCTGGGCGGTTATCGTCTCTGCTTCACCGTACTGGAGGTGTTTTATCGGACTCCATGCTTATAAATGGTAACTTGTCTAATTATCGTTTTTACATTGCGATCCGTTTGAATTAGATATAAATTAAAGTTATTGAATTGTCGATATTTTCAAACCATATTATAATTATTTTTAAAAAAAGACACATAGTCACATTTTTCACTCAAGGACGATAGCATATATAACTACCCCATTCTGACGTACGTCGCAGCAAATTTACTATTTTGCATAGCAAAGCGGTTAGCTTGTGGCCAAAATTCGAGGGTTCTTATTTTTGTACGTCAGTAAATCTTTTCGTAAGGGAAAAGGAATGAAAGAAAGAACAAAAAGCTTTTTCTTATTTGTTAGATGTTCGATATAATCAGTATAATTGAAAACTGTTAATGTACCAGTGAAACATTAACTGATTGTTAACACGTATATACTATATTATTATTATATTTATTCATTTATTTATTCAACGTTAGGTAAAGGTGCTTACCACAAGTTCATTAAAGATAATACAACAGTGTACACACCATATGAAGTTTTCAATGTTCAACTTGGACGTAGATACCGTTTTAGAGTAATCACCAATAGTTTGAATACATGTCCTATATTGTTTTCGATAGACAATCATAATTTGACAGTGATTGCGAGTGACGGATCTCCGTTAGAACCCTACACCGTAGACTCGGTAGTAATGTACTCTGGTGAAAGATATGACATAATAGTGCACACTAATCAAGATGTTAGAAATTACTGGATGCGAACATCAGGAATGTTACTTTGTGGAACCTTAAAAGCGTTTCAGCTTGCTGTTGTTAAATACGAAGGAGCAGCTGAAGAAGAACCCCTAGGGAATAAAGAATGGAACGTAGATACTCACGGTATTGTACGTATGATTTCAAAACTTAATAGAATCTATAACAATTGGCATAAATATACAAGAACATGTACAAAGTTTAAGGTCAGAACTTGCCATTTCAAATTACAATATAAGCTATTTAGATACAATTGATTAAGATGAAATCCATAAGAAAATCACTTAAATTTGATAAGAAATTGATACTTTGTAAAAAAACACGCAATTTAGTAAATACTACAAATATTTTGGTTCATCGATAATTTTTTGTTTTTAGTTTTATTCATACTTATATTCAGTCGAAAGTATATGAGGTAAAATATAGGTTTATTGGGTTTTACACTTGATAGAAATAAGGAGATGTGGTATGATTGGCAATGAAACAACTATCCACCAGAGTCCAAATGACATAGACGTTTATTATAGCAATTATAGGTCAACGTACGTTGCTCAATGAACTAATCCTACTTTGTACTTAGTGTGCGTTGTACGAATGCACATCTAAAAAATAATGACAAACAAAACAACAGAAACTAAAATAACCATAACTTTATCGTTCAGAAATGATTGTTTTTAAAATAATTGTATACAAAAGTGATATTCAGTCAAATTCATTTTTCAAAAATGAATAACAATAACTGAAGATAATGAGACAAAATATGCAGTAAAACTGATTTGATATTGGTTTACATCATATTTGTTTTACCGCTCAGATACGTTGTGGCCGATTATGTTTTAATTGTATTTCTTCCTCCAAAACCGTGACTGAGAAAATGGGTCCAGATGAGATTTATACATATTTTCAGTTTTTTGCATTTTTTCAATGCTACTAGTGTGCTTTCCATGAATACAAAATTTTATGATGATATCTCAACTGGTTTCGAAAATACAGCAGTTCATATTCGGCATACATAATTTATAATCGGAAAAATATGGAACTTCAAACAAAATTCTGACTCATTTTTTTCTTTGGTAATTGGAATGTTGTAATTGGGTTCCACCTCAATATTGTATTATCTATAAATACTCCATAATTGAATATCTATATTGATGACAAAAATCTAGTTTTTATGGAATATTTATGTGTTAAATATGTGGTTTCCATGGAAACAAACAAAAATAATGGAGAACTTCTTTTTTCATATTCTCCAAATGTCTTAATGTTAACATATATGTTATGTGTTGTTTCTGGTGATAATGTGCTGTCTATATATATATATACATGTCATTTTCCCTAAATCTGTATTTGTTTTGCAGTGATACTTTGAAATTAAGTGTCCTTTTTTTTAAGTTTTAGTTGGTTTTCAATGAGTTGCTTTTCGTTATCGTATGTTTTGAATGTGAGTTTTGTTTTTATATAATATATAAAAAAAATGTATCAAAACTTCCATCAGATTTGTTTCCAAAATTAAATGAAATAAAAACTTGAACTTAGTGGCATTGCTATTTAAAGTGTCTGTACCAAGTGCAAGATATACCAGTTTTCTGCCATGTGGTCAATTTATTAACAACTAAAAATGTTTTGACTTTGTTGGTGACATTAGCCTTGAACATTAAATATATTTTAAATTCAAAAATAATTAGAATAGTAGACAAAACAAACTTTGGTATTTTATTTCATAAAAAGCTCCGTTCTTGATGGACATTGATCTTTATTGGATTCTCCTTCATCGGTCAAGTCAACCTCAGTAATAGCAATGGTTAGCTTTGGACAGACTATGTCATTATTAGTTTCATTAAAGCAATATTCTGTCTGTTCATAGAGATACCACGGTCTTGCTGCATTTAATCCTTTGTGTGTTAAGGTGTTTGGCATAATAGATGGTGATATTAGAGTATTCTTCTTTATAAACAGATTTATGATAGCTGGTTATGAATCACATGCTTCTTTACATGTTAGTATGAAGTTATACATCTATGTTTTGATGAATCACCAATAAAGTGGTGATATGTGCTTTATATATGCTGCAGTGTTAAAATATTGCTGAAGGTATTGCTTCCAATTTTAATATATGAGGGTTTCTCCATATCCTTGACTAACTAGGCAATGTTATGGCTATTCCTTCTGGACTTGATGACACTATCTGCAATCTGCAAAATAATAAAATATAAATGCAACTACATCATCAACAAATATTGTACGCGCAGTATGTTTTAAATGTAGCCAGATCAGACACTACATTCAAAAAGAGTAAGCATGATCTTTTCCTGCAATGGATATAGGATGCATACATGTAAATTCTTTCAATTGAATAATTATATTTATATGGTTAATCAGTGCCACGTGCACAGTAATAAGACAGTGATAAGACTCAGTGACAGATCCAGGGGTCAATATTAAGATTATGAAACTAAACCTCTTTTTGTCAAAAATATTCCTAAATATCTATAATGTTTAACAATCTCAATTTCAGTATCATTTATAACAAAATTTCAAATTTTGTGGAAATCTACCGTTTGCAAAAACAATAACTTTTGTTTTATCAACAATTACCTTAAGCTGCCATTTGTAACAATATATCGCAAATTTATTTAACATATTTTGTAATTCAGTGTTACTATCCGCTAATAACACAGTGTCATCAGCGTATAACAGTAAGAAATCTTCAAATACACATCTAGTTCATCTTCCGGGTCTGCCATGCCAAGAAATCCTCGCTCAAAACTCCGGTGGACCTCATACGACACCCATTAGTAAATAAATATTTGATTTCATTCAAGAAACTAATTTATGACCTTCATGCATGTACGTGTTTCTTAGAACACGGTCATGTACCAAATAGTCAATATCAATCATTCGTGTAATTTATCCTATATTATTATTCAAAAGTTTAAATAAAAAGAGATTTCTTTGAATAGAATCAAAGGCTCTCTGAAAATCAAAAAACGCACAATAAAGCTTTTTCTTCTTCAATTTCATGAGTTCAAAAACGGTATACAGAACAAAAATATGATAGTTAGTGTTGTATCCTGGTCTGAAACCTGATGATTTTCTTGTAAAATTAAAAAACTCATCTAAATAATCAAAAAGTTTATTGCTTAAAATGGACGTAAATATTTTACCTAAATTAGATAGTAACGCTATTGGCCGAACTCAAGAAGCACTCGAGAAGTATTTGTCTAATAGTGCTTATATTGTTTATCAACAAAAATGATTCTGTTGTTTTATGAAATAAGTGCTCTTTGGTGCTATTAATTTATATACTTTTTGAATTTTGACTTTTTTATTTGGTATTATTGTTATATAATTCAAAAGTTCATTTCAGCGGGATCTACTGTAACTCAAATTACAGGTAAATTCTGATAATCCCTAATGTAAACAAATCACAAGAAACAAGAAATTCTTTACCTGTATACAAAAATATCAAATGTTGGAGAAACGTGACCACACCCGTTTTATAAGTAAAATGTAAATACAAAGAATTAAACAAAAAGGTGATATGAAATCTTAAATTAAGGTGGCTCGGGTGTCTTCCTCCATCTTGGATTTCGAAGTAGCAGATAACGTTGGTCTAGATATTTCATGAAATGTGCAAATTTTGAGAGTAGTATGTAATTTATGTAAAAGACTTTTGATGTAAATATAGAAAATTGTGTGTTTTATCATAATTACGGCTGTAATTTCTCAAAAACACCTTATTTGTGTTTGATAAGATTTTTTACAACTTTGCCAAATAAGGGGAGATAACTCAGATAAAGTAATTTGTATAATAGAAAGTGTTGTGAATTTACCTATTTACCTATTGTAGCAAGAAAACAAGTTCGGTGACTCCATTTTTTCTTTTTCTTATATGAAAGCATCTTATAAGAGCTATCTTCTCACATTTTATCTTAAAGTTCTATCAAGTAGTTTTCTTTTTATCACACAAAATTTGATTTTCCATGCATAATCTATACAAAATCTGACAATTTTGCACAACCTCTAGCGTGAAAAAAAGTTCGGTGACCCATACTTTTTATTATATCTTTGAAAAAAGCATGATAAAAACTTCATTTTGACAAATTATCAAAAAATTCTATAGATTTTAATTAAGACGCCCCAGCCACCTTAATAAGAAAATTAATGTGAATGTTATTTGTTTGTAATAAATGAACTCATTCTGGTTTTATTAAATATCTATATTGAAATCAAATATTTTAATGAAAATAGAATTATAAAAACTTAAGGGAACTTATATAGAAAAAATGCTTTTGGCATAAAATCAACAAACATGTTATGTTTTGAATTATGAATAATATTGTTGGCATCTTATTATGTCCTTATAAAAAGTCACTTTGAATTTTAGCTCACAAAATTAAAAAAAAAAAAAAACACACAATTTAACACAAGTTTGAAATTAATCTCATGAAATGCACTTCATTGCACTTAGGTGAACATGTGTTTATACATGTTAAACAGCTTTCCTGATAAAATAACAATTTAAACCTTAATTTAAAAAAAATGAGGAGCTGTGGTCTGATTGCCAATGAGACAAGTATCTAATAAAGTTAAAATGAAGTGGTATAAAGCAATTTAAGGCACTGTATGGCCTTCAACAATGAGGAAAACCTATACTTTATAGCTGGCTGTATTGAAAAGTCCAGAGCATAAAAAATGTGAAACGATTCAACCAAGAAAACTAAGAGCTTAATTCATAACAAAACAATTACGAAAAACAAATATAACATGATTATACGACAACCACTGTACTACATGTTACTAACTTTGGAACACCCCTTCTCCCCTTTTCCATCCAACTTAAGACGGTGGTTTAACAGCCCAACAAATGATCAAACTACAAAAATCAGTAGCAATTGGCTTAACTTAAAAGATCTGTAGGAGGCACACAAACCACTAACATAAGAACAAAAGACAAAAAGAGTTAACATATATGTACATGTATATATTAAATTGTGTGTTTTAACTCAGCTTTTACTTCTAGACTGAGTTAAAAGGTCAATGTATAGGTTGAGTTACACAATTTAGTAAGTTTATGACTAAAATTACAAAGCCACTTCATAATGTGTACATTTTATAAGGACATGTAGATGCTGGTATAATATGCATATGTAGATGCTAGTCATGCTACATGCAGTATAATATGCATATTCAGACTATAACATAAATATTCATCAGATTGGTGCTGTCAGTATAATCAGTCTGTTGAATTTAATTCATAGGTGTCGTAAATTTAACTCTAACCATGTTCGTAAACATCTGATGCATATATTTTTGGGAATATATTTATGATTTGTCAATTTCAGAGAAAGCTAGCTAAAACACTCTTTTTCATAATGATACTAAACAATTTTATGCTTTCATCATAAAAAGTCAACGTATGTACATGATAGAACATCATAATGCAATGTGTGCAGTGTGGTAAAAAAAAAGTGCATATAAAAATTACAAGTAATATTTAACAAAATGATAGTACATTTTTGAATGCATGTAATATACAGACATGTATTACATTTATATTATGCATACATGTTTGTTCTAAATGAATAACATGTAAGTTGTCAGTCACATTTTCATTTACTTTAGCTGTTGAAAGGGGTACACTGCCTGAGTTATCACAATATTTATTGATTTTACTTAACAATTTTATTTAATAAACATGATAAAACAAGATAAATATTAACAGAAAATGTTAATATTCAAATATGTAATTTATTTGTTTTAATCTGATTGTAATTGTTCAATATAATTACCTGTATCTTGGCTGTCACCTGGGAGATTGGTATAGTTATCTTTGCCGGAAGAGCATTAGTCCCTTTATTATGTTCGTAGCTGAACATCTACATGTGTACTGTATTTATCATGAAAATCAGGTTTTCAGTACATGATTTTGACACTACAATGTTTGGAAATCGTTAGAAAGAGCGTAAACCAACACTTTTGTATTTCACTTCTGCGGCATATGTTTCATATATTCCCGATTTTCTTCATTTATTTGTATAAAAAGATCATCCTGCATTGACTCGGATTCATCAGATTCACATGTTTTTAAACAGCGCCAACATCATATGTTAGATTATCACGTTGAGAACTGTCTATATGGGCACAATATATTTCATCAACAATCCGCAGCTCCACAATAAACTCTCATCATGTTTATCTGTTAGTTCCGATGGGATACTTTAGCAAAATGAAACAGAACTAGCTTCAAACTTTTTCACTTTGTCAACCTACGTTTTCGGTAAGGGAAGTAACTTATAATATGAACAGGCTAAAATACGGAATCGTGTTAAAATGAATATTGCGGACTTTGATATATAAAGACAATTACGAAATACGCACGCATGGTAAGCTGTGCATGTGCTATCATAAGGGAAATAATATTGTTTTTAGGCAGCGAACAAATTTTTTGCAGGTGCTCGTCAACGTTAACTTTGCAACGTCATAGCCAAAATTACGTGTTACCGCATCTGGGCCCATTTTGTCAGACGTGGTCACATTTGATACCTTTAAGATTTTATGAAATATACAGAAACGGCATGATGATTTGTTAGAGGTATACAATTTTTGAAAATATGTTTTGAATATGGCTGGCTACGTTTGGAGTTCCTACGATTGCCTCAGTTATTGTTTGTGATTTTGAGTTGTCTTCTTAATCGATTTATAAGTTTTGAAAATTGGTAAACTAATGTTGCCTATATTTATATTGAAAGATAATAGAAAAATATAAATCAACATGTATTTTTTATGTACGGGCGTTTAGCCTTGACTTAACGGTATGGAAATTGCTTATAATCAAAAGCCGTATTATTACCAATAGTTGTCAACATCCATTTCATGTGGATTTAGTAGATACACGTCTCATTGACAATCATACCACATCTCTCTTTTTATATACAGCATTGATCAAATACTTGGGAAAACAATATGATATACACAGAAAGTGTTCGAGTTTACACCATAATTTAAAAAAATCATTCTTTACTATTATGGTATGGGTATACAGTTGTTTTCATAAAGATGCCGATTTAAATGTTTTTCTATAAGCTGAAATGAAATTAGTTTGAATAAATTACTAAAATTTTAGATACATAATCATTGCACATGCCATTAACGTTAAAATTCTTGTAATAAATATTTCATGTAAGTTTTACGTTAGTTACATTTTGACAGATTTAAGGATCCGTATCAGTGCATAACATTTTTTAAAAACGAATTCATCAATAAGGTTAAAACGGGTCATTATAACAAAGATGCGGTTGGATGATTGTAACAAGTACTTATTTTATGTGTGTAAAGTAAATATTTTCCTATTCATTCTCGATCTAACGAGAGATTATTCGTTCATCATTTATTTAGCAACTAGATCCTCTTAACAAAAAGACAACAGAAGGCTTCGTTGATATATCACAACTCAATTCTACGATGCCAAATGATGAATCGCTGAAAGAAATTCCAGACAAAACAATCTATCTTGGTTATGACTTCAATATAATTGACAATTTCCGAGCACATGACAAGGAGTTCTACAGTGTTCATGAAGTAGATGCACCATTTAGAAGATTCACACAACAAATTAATCATATATCAACAGTGTTCCCCCCTGCACCTGCTCAAACGCAGTACTCAGACATTCCAAGTGTAAGTATTGGTCAAATTGATTTAATATTCATCATAGAGTAACAGTTTGATTAACAAGAGTGCCTAAACAAATACCTGTTTTACATTTTACAAGGGAAGCCATACTAACTGTCAACTATTGAATGTCACGCTAAATTAGCATCAAGAAGAATCTTTTATATACAAATGTCTTGTCATGGCGGTCCATTATCATCATAAATTTCATGAATTTTTACACAAATATAAACTATACAAAGGCACGACAGCAGATGAAAAGAGGACAAACAAAACGTATTTGTCGAAAAATACAGACATCATGACGGTGAGAAACAAAAATCGAACAGATAAACACGTCAACAAAATACTCTGAATTATTGAAAAATGAGTAGCTCGAACTCTTCAAAAAACAAAAATGAACGCATGTGCTCTAGAAAAATAATAATTTTGCTTCAATACCGGTGCTACAGCTTTATTAATATCTTGACATCTAGTAATCATTTGATATTTCTGGATGTAATCATATAGTTTTTAGTAAGCAACACGACGGGTGCCACATGTGGAGCAGGATCTGCTTACCCTTCCGGAGCACCTGCGATCACCCCCAGTTTTTGGTGGGGTTCGTGTTGCTTAGTCTTTAGTTTTCTATATTGTGTCATCTGTACTATTATTTGTCTGTTTGTCTTTTTATTTTTGGCCATGGCGTTGTCAGTTTGTTTTCGATCTATGAGTTTGACTGTCCCTCTGATATCTTTCGTCCCTCTTTTAGCATTGGACCTTGTGATCTTGTAATGAAAACACTATATATACATATCAAAAATGTTTGCACCTCATGTTTGCGGTATACCATCTTGTCCGCAAGTTTATTGTTTTCTGTTTGGTATTAAATTAATAATTAATATCCATTTTGTTACATCTGATGATCCGTTTATTTGGCAATCGCCATGGCAGTCAGCAGTGTTTAAGAACATCCGTTGTTCGACCTGCTAGTCAAATGTGTTTTGTTAAAATATACTTTTTTGGTCTTTTGGAAAATATTGTTTGTGCTGTATTTAAACCTCTCTACCAAGAAATTTGTTTTGCATGCACACGTATAAAAATTGCGGTTTGTATCCATCGCAATCATAGGTTTGAACGTTGTTTTCAATTTAGAATTGTTTATATTTTTATGTTTGGGCTTCTATTATATTTACATTCGGGTTTATTTAATCCGTTCATCCTATTTCGACTCTTCAAAATTCAAGAGTCAATCCTAAATTGAGGTAAATTATATGGCCTTCCAAATACCGTTTCGATTCCTAACATCACTGAAGAGACATTAAATGTCGAAATCCGAATATGGTGTACAAATTTTTGCACCTCATGTTTGCGTATATCATCTTTTCCGCAAGTTTATTGTTTTCTGTTTGGTATTAAATTAATAATTAAGATCCATTTTGTTACATCTGGTGATCTGTTTATTTGGCAATCGCCATGGCAGTCAGCAGGGTTTAAGAACATCCGTTGTTCGATCTGCTAGTCAAATGTGTTTTGTTAAAATATACTTTTTCACTTTTTTGGTCTTTTGGAAAATGTTGTTTGTGCTGTATTCAGACCCCTCTACCAAGAAATTTGTTTTGCATGCATGCACGTATAAAAAGTGCGGTTTTTATCCAACGAAATCATAGGTTTGAACGTTGTTTTCAATTTAGACTTGTGTAACATAATTTTTATATATATATGTTTTAAATGTATCGGGAGATAAGCCTGATAATCTCAATTTTGTTTGATTATTGCGTTCGTAGAACATAATGTATGAATGAATGCATATATAGAGATATACCAATCAGATGCCATCTCTACAATACAAAAATCCATGTATCTTCTGCATTCGTATTGACTTGATAATAGTATTAATCACTGAATTGGTGAACTAATAAAACATGACTGTGTGTTATAATTTCGTGACTGTATGCTATAATTTTGTAAGAATGTAATCATTTCTGTTTTATAGGATCTATTTTGTAATGAAGATTCCATGAAGGCAAACTGTACTCGTGAATTTTGCCAGTGTTTCCATGTTATTGAAATCGGATTAGGAGAAGTAGTAGAAATTTTTTTAGTGGACGAAGGTGCTACTTTTAATACGAACCACCCGTTTCATCTACATGGAAATTACTTCAGAGTAATAGGACTGGATAAGGTATACGAATATTGACAGGAGAAAGGATATATGTGGTCTATAGATCACAAAAACTGTCTTAGATGCCGATTTGAAGGGAAATCAAAAGATTATCATTATTGTGAACATATCATGATATTGAGTAAAATCAATTCTTATCATTTTTCAGATTTATAGTGTTACATTGCAAAACTCTTGTGGTTTGTTGAATAATAATTTGTTGCAAACAAATGTTAAACCATATGTTCTTTCTACCATTATGATCTCATTTATATGACACGTAACACAGAAACCAATATAGTTTATACTAAATTTCTTTCATGTGTATGCGTAAGTTTCTTAGGCGCTATATGGTGTTCACTTATCTACAATTGAGAAGTTTTCCAATGTTGCAAAGTAGACAGCATATTCTATTTTATATCATCATATACATCTGTTCTGCCAGGTAGACCCCTATAGGTAGTTGTTATCACCCTTAGTTAATACAATTCTGGTATTTTAGCTGAATACATCAACATCAATAGAGGAAGTTAAGGCGTTGGATGCAAAGGGTATGATTCATAGAAAACTTGATAAAGCCCCATTGAAAGATTCAGTAATGATTCATGATGGAGGATTCACCATTCTCAGACTGCATGCAAAAAACCCAGGTTGGTAGTTATTTCCGTTAAAAAGAATATTAATGAAACTTGTCATATAATTATCAATAAGATAATGATGAGCTAAATTGAGATTAATCAAAATGGTAAATACGATATACAAAAAAAAAAACATATTTCAAACCATATTTCATATCTTAACGTTCGTGTTCAAGAACCTACATCAGCTAGCTAGGAATCAAATACAACGTTTCTCATCTATAAATAAAGGAAAATAAAATAAAATGAATCTCATTACAGTCGTATATAATACATAAAGGCAACAGTAGTATACCGCTGTTCGAAATTCATAAATCGATTGAGAAAAAAACAAATCCGGATTACAAACTAAAACTGAGGGAAACACATCAAATATAAGAGGAGAACTACGACACAACAGAAACACAACATTAAAATGTAACACACACAGAAACGAACTATAATATAACAATGACCATTTTCCTGACTTGGTACAGGACATTTTAAGATAAAAATGGTGGGTTGAACCTGGTTTTGTGGCTAGCCAAACCTCGCACAATCGTTTATGTAATGATATAAGGATATGAATAAAATTAACCTTGAAATAAAAGAAACCATTTAGTCTCTATAAAAACAATTTTCGTCATATTTTGTTTCTTTTTATTTTGCTGTTTTAATTCGTGTTTTAATGTTATTGTACCAAACGACCGAATCGAATAAAATCATTATTAACAGACTTTGTCATATACATAAATTATGCCGAGCTGTAAAAGATATGAAAAGTAAATAAGATCTTAAAAAGAATAAATTAACTGCCAAATATTTTTCGATAATTAAGGTAAAATGGATATGTCAATATCGTAGATTAATCTTAAGGTAATTGTTCCACCATAACAACTACAAAGTCAAGATAAGAACATATAATTCTGTTCACAATTATTTATGAATCATTTGACAAATTCAAAATGTTTATTAACGTACCTACAGGTAGGTTTAAAGTTCTATCTATATAACTTAAAGAATAATTTGCTTTTATGTTCTATTAATTGGAGTCTTGGGTTCCTGTAGGACTACACTCTCATCATGCTTTATAGTTTATAAAATATGATGTTTTAAAAAGAAAACTTTTGCTATGTTAAGTGAAGTTTCATTTCGATCAAGTAGAAACTGTTTTTACATAATATACTCTCTGAAGTTTTTGTATGTATTTCAGATATTTGATTTCGAATACCGCTAACGAGACATTTTCGATATTTTAATGCATTATTTTATGTTATTTTTTCAAAGCAAAAAAGACGGTTTTTAATGCCTTTTAATGTAAAAACTAACAAAACAAATTCTGTTCTTCTTCCACTACAAGAAAATTAAACGTAAAAGTGCAGACATGATTCATTTCCACAATTATTAGTACACAGTATAATCAATATATGATGTAAGGAGAGCATATCAAGGAAACCTGTACATTTTTCAGGTTTTTGGTTCTTCCATTGTCACTTTCAAACACATACCGAGATGGGTATGGGTCTTACCTTACAAGTTGGAACACCGAGTCAACAGCCAAAAATCCCGAAAAAATTTCCAAAATGTGGGCCTTGGATATATGAAGGTTATGAAGAACGACAAGAGTCAAAAGATTGTCCAACAAATAAGGAATGCAGAGTTATGATGTCTTTTGAATGTTACGTTGTGCAATTTCTAATGTTCTATACAACAATGTTGCTGTATTGACATGACGTTGAATGTCTGTAAAATGTTTTGATACGTATTTTAATTGTCATCGACATTCCTGATATATTTTATATATTTTTCTTCTGTTTTCCTCTTATTCTTTAACTGTTTCTTGAAATCAAAATTATATCATTTTTTTAAGTATGAGTACACGAAGCTGAAACAAATGCATTTAATGTCCAATGATTCCAAAGAAAAAATTCATAATTAAAATTGATACCTCTGTCATAATTATTTTTAGAAAATAAATTTGTGATGTACGTCATATAGACAGCATCTCAGAAACACAAAAAATCAAAAGGTATCTAAATGTTAAAGGACCGTTTTGATCATGACAAATGCACATGTATCTACAATATGCCAATATCTAAATTTGTCGGACTGTAAAAGAGTTATAAATAAATTTAACAGACTAACATCTGCCATCAACGCATCATTCCTTAAATATGAAAAAAAAACATCAACATATAACAGAAGACAACCACTGACGTATTTTTCTGACTTGAAACACAAACAAAAGTCCACACAATACTGCAAAAACTAACGATGTAGCAAATACATAAGTTCAATATACAACCGGTTGTGAAACTATGTGGTTTGGAAGGGTAGGCAGTCGCACTTATCTTATTGATTTGTACAACTCTGGTTGATAAGTGGCATTCGTTAATTTCCCAATCGGGCAAAAATGATTAGTAAACTTGTCAGATGTGACACAGTTTTTCCATAATTGTCAACCAAACCATAGCGTAAATACAATTTTTTAAGGAACTATTGCCAATTTTACCATTGAAAACCTTGGTTCAATAGCTCCTTTAAAAGCAGCAAATATGATAGGAAGCGAGAGTCCTGAAATATCATTTATTTAAAAAGTTATCCACTTCGCCGGAGGTACACAATGTTGAATACTTGATATGATCGAAGGCGAATCAAATACGATGGATGAGTAAAGTAATAGTATTTTAGATGTTCAACTGTTATTGTAAATTTAGATATTATCATATCAATATGTAATGAAAACGTGTTCCGTAATATTAGATGTTTTTTATATCGGATCTATAAAAAAGGTAACAAAATCGGACAAATCTTGCACTGAAAAGGATTATTTTTTTTAATACCGATTTAATTGAAATTTCTACGAGGGGAATTTTATCTATATTACAATGTGATATCATATTGCTAAATTCATAAACATTCAATTGTGTCATCTAAATTGTTACAATGGTTTGCTAATATATTCAGAAATAATGATTTAAGGACCCAGCATCCATAACGAATAAAGAGAATTAAAGTTGTCATGTTATGTGCACACCTACAATGCCTGATATAAGATCATGTCATTTTAAAACTGAATACACGTAAAGAAGAAACTTCCTCATTAAATAGGGAATTATGATTTCGGGTACGACTGTACTATCTGAACAGCAGCTAGTGGAGATAAATATACAAATGAGACAACACGAGAACGGAAGTTCACAAAAATGACACCTAGAGGTCGTCATAGAATATAAAACAGTCACACAACATCCATACCGAAAGGAAATATACTGTAACTGTAAACAATCTGTAGCCTCATTTGATTTAATCTTCATCTTAGACCTAATAATTTTGTCCATCAAATTAAGTGTATTGTTTACTAGTACAACACATATCAAAATAACTGTATTAATTATATATTATTTAGATTCGGCAAAGTGAATACAATTTCTATCCCAAATACCACAGTAACTGTAAATTGTTTGAAATTTATTGTTATGAAACTTCATCCTATGAATCATTATTCAACACAGCTTGTTAACCTCAATTATCATTATATACCAGTTTTCAAGTCTTCACGAGTATAACCACATGTCCTACGACTCAGGCCAGTAACAATTTATTGAAAGGCTGCATCATAAGCCATACAAATTGGAAGAAGTTTTATGAGAATACAGATTTTCGGGCTTGGAAGTCAAAAAGATTTTTCCGTGAAAATTCTGAAGAAAAATAGGGAATGACAAAAAAGGAAAACATTCTAGAATCAACCAAAAACGGCTGGACTAAACAATGCATAACAAAAGAATATCAATCAAATGGGTTATCAAAAAAAAGACCATAATCTTGACCGAATAATATAATTTTGTTAATAGAAAGTAAGTAAAACTTTATTTTGCTTCAGCTTATTGAACATAAGCTCTGAAGAACTTAATATAAAATATAAAATCTGAGCGAATGACCCAGTGCACAGGTATAGGTGCAAATCATCCCACCTTGATCGAAACGAAAATTCTGTTTGCCAAAAATCGTTTGCATTTCCACCCAGAAAATTAATAAGTTGTCTTCTTATGGAGATGTAGACGACACATATGAACTCTTCAGTCCATGAACAGCCAATAAATTCATCACGAGAACCATTTCAGACTCATGGTGTCACTGGTTTTTTTTTGTCACGGATTTTGCTGTCAACATTTTACGTTTTCATATGATTTTGTTTTGTGAATCGCTCTAATAAGCACTTGTGCCCAGATCAATAGTAGACCTGACGATGTAAAATACTTACTTTACCGTACATCCCGTTTTGCTTACATACATCTTTCGCATATTTGCTGGTCCCTTTCTAGTGTAAAAAAGTGTTAAACTGCTTCACAAGCTTACAAACCTTTCTTAAATTGTCCGTTTATATAATTTATAAATTATTAAGAAAGGCTTGAACTCCCTTAGGCAGAGTTGACCTCAGATGGATTCGGTTTTTATTTTTGGGTCCTTTTTTGTCATTTAGCTTTTGAACAGTTTCGGTTCTTATACGTCCTTTGGCTTTCAAATATTCGGATTTGAACATTCCTGATGAAGATAAATCCGCAAAAAGCGTTTCGTAAGCATGAAAGGTATGAAGTATTGTTTTCCTTTTTACTAAAATGTACATCATTATCTATAATTTTCGATCTGCATTACAGTATTCATAAAAAGCAGTCCACGTATTCGATTATTATAAACAATTTAGTTTCTCTGAAATCAAAAGTTTTCATGTTTTTTTTTTATTTTTCTGTTTTAATTCGTGTAAAATGTTGTACCAAATGATCGAATACAATTATGATTATCAGACTTTGTTATATACATAAAGTATGACAAGCTGTAAAAAAATGTAGAAAGAAAATAAGACCTTAAAAAAATAAATGAACTGCCAAACATTTCTCGATAATGAACATCCAATTAGATGTAAATATTTGTTTATTGTAATTGAAGAATCCTTGGATATATGAACATTTCCCAGCTTATTCGTTATACAAATAAAAAGAACACTATAACACGTAAATGAGGTGATAAACAACATCAGTACCTAGAATTTATACTTCAAGACCATCATTTATTATTTGTGAAGTTGATACGGGCTATTTATCAACAAGATCTTGGTATCTTCCGATGAACTTTTTTTAGAAAAAGGACTAGACGTTCTTTGATGTAACCCTGTTTCATCAACTTTCTGCTCAGACTGCAATCTCTTGAATAACGAATGAGCTGGGAAATGTGTACCCCATATGCAGGTGAAGTTGGTATATTGCTGCTAAGGTGGGGGAAATTTATAATTTCAAAATTAAAATCGTCTCATTTGTCATAGATTCTGGTACTAAGATGACCGCTTATGTCAAATTGAGGTATAAGTCTTAAAATGAGGCGGAGGAAGTCATGTCTGTTGTTTCTTTAATTTCTATTTCTGGAGGATATATTAATGGAACCCAATCAGAAAAGTTTGGATTTTTAAGGGAAAGACAACCATTGATGTGTTTTTCTGACTTGAGTTAGATATGTCAACTAGTGTTGGAGTAAAACTAAGTTGATTAGATCGCAAACGTAGCTATCATGTTTATTTCGTAAGTGAATGACAAAAGATACAGAAATAGCGGGAGAATAAACCAAGGCGCAGTTATAACGGTCTTTAGATTTAGTAGTATAGAGAGTACATGTACAGGGTATAAATATCCGGGCCGGCAGTAGTGTGTTTCAAGTTCGGTACAGCGTGATTAGTGTATAATGGGGCAAGTACTTTCTTTCATTATGAATGATGATATCTATACTACTTGTTCTTTAGCATGTTAAACTGCTTACATTTGACCGGAAATATAATGACATGACTAAAAGGAAGTTGCATCGGATAGTTCCAGAACTTATTAATTTGTCTAATTGCTTATTGTTTGAAACAGTAATCGATGTAAAAGCGTAAAATTTTCAGTATTCCTTATCAAGTATATATACCCTTATATAAGTTTGCCTTGTAGCTTTCCTCGGTTATACGTTTATTAGGTGAACAAAAAACGGTCTTTAGATTTAGTAGTATAGATGATTTAAGGACCTAGTATGCATAACGAATAAAGAGAATCAAGTTGTCATTTTACTATATGTTATGTAAACTCCTATAATGATGGATGAGCTAAGATAATGGCATTTCAAAACTGAATACAAGAATAATTTTAGAAACTGTATCATCAACTAGTACATTTGGAGTACGACCGTACTATTTGATCAACAGCTACTTGAGATAAATATACGACATTGAGAACAAAAAAAAAAAAAAAAACAAGGAAACACAGAGATAGCCATAGAATGTAAAGCATTAGGTACACAAATATAGATGATTACCAAGACTGAACTGAGCGAAAATGCTTAAAAATCTTTACATCACTTTTTGTTGTCTATTTTCATAAGAATTGGGACGAAAGAAAATGTATGTGTATGCCTTAATGTATCCCTGACGTGCTAATCTTTTGACAGTTTCTGCACTAATTTTGACAAAAAAGGAGTCTGAAATTTATATTTTTGATAGCTATTAAGCCAAACGACATGAAAAAGGATTGCATTTCCTGATTACTAGTACTCATTTATGATAATTTTCATAAATATCTAAATACGCTAGAAAGCCAAAATCACAGCAAAAACAACTGGTAACCTTCATACTGATCTCGCGTCTACAAATAGACAGCGTCGTGTAAGCTAACCTATAATGATGCAAGTTTATACATATACATATTGATATTAAGGTCACCATGGACCGAAGGTAAAGGAAAAATCACTTGTCCGTTCTTGAATTCTTTTTAACAAAACTCTTGTCCTCTGAAGTCACTCTGCCAATCTTGACCTAACATGGTCACTGATTACACTCGTGCTTAGGTTATCTAGTTTAAAAATGTGTCACTTTTACCCATCAAGCAAAAGATGAGGTCACTGTTGTAGCAAATTGAGGGTAGGACTTAAATCATGATTTAACTTTTATGTTTCTAAAATTATAAAAGATTGCAAATTCATCCTTAAACAACCAACACGTCATAATCTGCCATTTTTATCATAGGTATAACAAATTCCGTAAATTAACCCTTTTTACACAATTTTGCGTTTTTTACGTACAGTTTAAGTTTTCGTGCTTATGGCACGCATCATTTATGCCAAGGTAAAATATATAGTGTGGTAAGAATGTTTATATTTTCATTTATAATGTTAAGATTATGTGGTACATGAAATGAGATCTTTATCCTGAACACTTACATTAAAATGTGATCAGTAAAACTGAGGAGACATTGTAGCATGCGCACCCTTCTTTGAACTTGTTTTGGTTATCTATCAAAAATTCATTCTGAACACAAAACTATTCAAATGTCACTGAAATTCCAAATAGTTTGGAAAACAAATAATGAACAATTTCTATAACGCAAGTACGGAAGTTCTTTTCAATTGGCCAATTTAATTCTAAGGATAACATAACTATTCACCACGTTAAGCACAAAATGAGATCAATGATGCCTGGGTATTGATCTCTGAAATATCGATTTAAGTCGAAAAGCTATCTAGCTTTGCTAATTTTACTATGAATAGAATTTCTAAGGCGAAACTCTGGTCTGTGTTAATTAAGTTTGCCAATCGATGGACTATGATGCACTTCCTATATAATCATCTTATTTCAATAGCTGTTTCAAGATATAAAAGGTAGAGATATCTTTAAAAAATGTAACAAGTTTTTTGGACTCGATCTTAGAATTGAATATTCCAATGTCCTAACTGTTCTTCTTGTCAACGAAGGCAGTTTTCTACATACTTTCTATACTTGTAGTATATGTAGCACAATCTTGACAATAGCATCTCTTTATGTATTGCTCTCTGGTTTAATAAATATCAGAAAAATTAACAAGCAAATAAAAACAACAGTAGTATACCGGTGTTCAAAAGTCATAAATCGATTGAGAGAAAATAAATCCGGGTTACAAACTAAAACCGAGGGAAACACATCAACTGTAAGAGGAAAACAAAGGAACAACAGGAACACTGAAGTGCAACAAAAACAAATGCCAACATACATAGAAACGAACTATTTGATAACAACTTCCATATTCCTGAGTTGGTACTGGACATTTTAAGAAAAAATGGTGGGTTGAACCTAGTTTTTATGGCTAGCCAAACCACCCGCTTATATGACAATGTTAAAAAATATCGCTTAAATGACGACACTAAGTGACAGAAATATAGCACAATCAAAAAGATAGGAACAATGTATATCCCAAAGGCACCATTTCCTTAAGATCCTAATGATTGGTTAACAGAAATTTTGTACATTGGTACTCTCTATATATTCAGTGTGTATTACCGAAACGATGATTAAACAGTATTTACATTTACTCAATATGTATTACCAGTATCATATTCAGTAATGTCTCTTTTCATGCATTATGTTTTGTCAAACATTACATAATATTTTAGTTTTTGCAAATATAAATAGTTCGAATTTAGTTATCATATATAAATAACTCTGACAACTTTTATGTCTTTGATTTGAATTTTGGTTACTAGAGACTTAAAAGTTTTACTTTGATACAACGAAATCTATAAGAACTATATATCAAGATGAATAGAATGTGGATACTGTTTGTTCTGGGATATTTGTATGTGAATGCAAACTACCAACTTAATGGTAAGTATCATTTTTACTAAGTCACAATTAATAATACACCTATTTAAAAAAAAACTAACTTTTGAAACATATTTATAAAAAATATAAAAATAATAACAATATTTGAATTAGTCATCTTGTCTATCTTTTTGGGTGATGCCTTAACTCATATCAAATATGAATGACAATATCTATTTTATTTAAATTTTTACATGATTACAGTGAAATTGAACAGCATGAAACCCTAATTGAGTTAGTTTTTATTATGTTTTATATATCCCCATCAAAATATGTCATTTATTTTCCATTCTTTTGATGTGTTAGAGCTTTTGATTTGCCATTTGATAATTAACAAAATTACCAAATCTCAAGGTAGATTCCAAAAGGGGGTCCATAAAACATAACAAAACCAAACACTCAACTATATCAACCAACGGATCGACTGAAAAACCAACTGTCATATTCCTCACTTGATACAGACGTTTTCTCAAGCAACCCAAATAGACATAATTGCAATAAATACAAGGAATACCAACTGAAAATAACACTATAGAAACTTCATGTATAACTTAATTACTGAGCTGCGCATGAGAATGGAATACCTCTGCTACTACTACTAATGATAATATTTGAATTATGATAACAAAAATAATCAGAAAATCTCAACATTTATGTAAATCCTTTGACTTACCAATTGGGAAAGATGAAACAAAGAAACAACCTTTTCTACACATTGTATCAAGTAGCTGATAATTTATCTATCAGCAAAAAATCCCGATAATCTGCCTTTTCTGGTGTTTATCCCAAAGCCTACTCAAACACAGTTTTACATTCGACAAAAGTAAGCTTACAAATGTCTCCTCGCACATGCTGACTTCGTTGAAAACTTTTCCGCAGACATTGTGACCTCGCTGATAATTTTGGCTCACATCTCAAAGCCGTGATACAAAAATTACTAAGCAGGGTGACAAAGGCAATAGGAATGATCATACCGACGTCTTTAAGTCAAAACCGCCTTATTGCACCTGTGATAGTTCCCAATATATAACCCAATAGCTAGCCACATTAATATGGTTGACCTAAACATTGTCATCTACACTTATCAGCGGGATATGTTAGGCAAAGGACCATAAAACCGTTAGCCGAAATTCATCAATTTCAAACACAACGCTTAAAAGAGGTGTAAGATACAAAGGTGGCAATTAAAGCTAATTAGTCGAAGAGAAACTGACAACGCATTGAGAGAAAAAAAAACGAAAGACGACGATCAGGCCAGGCAATGGGCTCAATGCAAAAAAGAAAAGCTAAAACTCTATCCGAATGTGTTAAGACCATTTATACAAATTAAAATTGAAAAAAACTATAAGGGTCTATGAACACTCTGCGTTTGTCATCAAATACCAACATGTTGCTGAGTACCTGGCCTTATTCAATAACAAATATTTTGTTGTCCGTGCAGAACTGCGTTTTTGTGTGTAAAAACGATCAAACTACGTAAAATGCATGATAACTATACAAGGTGCTGATATTTCACTTGGAAAACCAAGATATAATACCATCACCCTTACAAAAGAAGAAATCCTGAATAATGATAGGTCTGCTCTATGTTTATTTTCAATTTTTAAGATCTAGATTTTTCTTCAATTTATACGATACAAAACATAGATGTATTTTTAAACATAGTTTTGTTGAGTCTGCCAATTGTTCCGATGCTCCTCTTTCCAAATTAATTATAAATATCAATTTTACATGTTTTATCAGTAATCTAAAGTCTGGTTTCAGAGTTACTGTAAAACTGCTTACATACGGGACTGTGTGGATTAGATTTGGATAATAAATAATTCCTACAATCTGCTTCCCCATTTTTGAATATAACTTGCAGTTCGGTATGTTTGTTGATACTTTTTTGTATAGAGTATATGCCTTCTAATAACCGTTCTTCCCTTTACACAAGTATTTCACATTCTTAATTAAGATTAAAATAACAAACTTTATTTCAGTGACAAAAATGGCCATTGTAGAAAAAAATATATCTTGTTACGGGAAAGGAAAAATCAAACTTTGTAAATAAACCCATTCTTATTCAAACGAACAATGTTCTGAAATTGACACCATAAAGATGTTTGATCCTTTTTTTAAAACTAATCTGTTATGTTAAGAAGACGTGTTTTTCAACAAATAATTGGCAAACCGATGAAAATTAACTCTGTTCCTCTTCTTGCTTTGTTGATCTTTAATACAAAGGAGACAGACTTAAGGCAATATAATCTAAGGAAGCATGGAAAGAAAGCTAGCATTATCCTTTAACTTCACGTTTCGTTTTACAGATGATTTCCACTCCGTAAATAATTAAAAATTTGGTGATTTAGTTGAATGCATTTATCCCTTTAACTCGTAATAAAGGATACACAGATAAAATTAAGTCCGTCTCGTATGTTGACTTATCACTTAGAAGCAAACTTACGAAAAGGGTATGATTTCAGCTTCATATTGTGAACTTTTCATTTTCATGTAGCATCATTCTAACAGCGTCTACGTATGGTGCATATTTAGTTACACAGTATTCTAGTGACATAATTAGATATATACGGGGTCAGTTAATTCCATATGGGACGGGAGTGGGCAAAGCTCGAACCCCATATGGAATTAACTTACCCCGTATATATCGTTAAGGTCACAGTACACTGTGTAACGAATTTATCTAACCGACTATCTTAACAGTCAGCGTCTTTAACACATTTTTGTATGTTAATTTTGGGTCAACACCATGTACCAACCATGTATTTAAAATAAATCACGCCCACTGACCGTGCAGTCAAGATAAAACACGGACACTGACCTAATATTAAAAATAAGGGCAAAAAACTTGTGTTAAGAAAAAAAATATACATGGTTCCCACGTGTTCGCTTTTAACCAATGATATTCCTAGACATGTATAGGAGATTTAATGAATATTTATCCCAAGCTTAGTATATTACTCAGATTTCTATTGACTAATGACACGTGGCTAAAAAACCCATAGTCCCAAGTATTGCTTATCCTTATACCTGGGCGTTGCTACCCATAACCATGAAGAACTTCACGCGCGTTTTACTTTAGTTCCATCAGTGAAAAAAAGAATTCTGTAGATGTTCCATGTTGTCTCTATTTAAATATGTAATCCAATAACGATTTCAACCTACATTTTTTAACCTGCAAATAAGTTTCAAATGTTAGTGTAAATAGCTCTTACGAATAATCTAGTGATCTGTATGCTATTAAATGTGTAAATAGTTATGTCAAAAAGCCATTTAATATCGTTCAAAAAAAGGTGAATGGCCTTCATGGCTAGTTCAAATCGGTATTATGGATTATGTTTTACATTCTTGATTTAAATTACATCTATCACAGGGGGTCATCTTTGTAAAGATATAAACAAATTTCATTTAACACAAGACATTTGCTTTTAATAAAATTATGCGGTGTGTATAAAAAGGAATACAATTTCTTTTCATGTGAAATAAAGGTCTATATAAAATTTTATCAATGATACCAAGCTTATAATATATCAGCTATCAATATATGTTGAGTTTGTATTGGATACCTCAGTAACTTCACAAAACTCCGTACAAACAACTGTACATTGCCGGCTCATCTGCATGTTCTACCTAAGAATTGTCCGTAATATTAACCAAATATGGTCCGCAATGAAAGGGATATTACCCCGGTGTTTTGGTGGGGTTCATGTTGCTCAATCTTAAAGTTTTCTATGTTGTGTGTTTTGTACTGTTGTTGTCTTTACGTCGTTGTCGTTTTACCCCTGGAATTATCAGTTTGTTTTCGAATTATGCGTTTGAATATCCCTTGATATCTTTTGCCCGTCTTTTACATACTGCGACACTTTTTACTGGCGTAATGGCATTAACCATATGTGGATTCTTAAGAACTCAACAGAACGCCTGGAAAATTTTAAATCTCGGTTATTCTCTGAAATTAACCCAATCTACGATTTTTTCTACCCTTTACACCACCATAACACATGAAAAAAAAAATTACATTTAATCATAATGTATTCATCTATCTTCCCTAATCTCGTGTTTGTTTATGCTTTTTTCTGTGTTTTTGTTGTTGTTTATAAAAAAAGAGTATTGCCTCATGTAATTGATACTTTTTTGGTTTGATTGTTGTTTTTGCATTTTTATGTTTGTTTTTGGAATGTTTTATAGTGTTATGATTGGGTTGTAGTTTGGATTAAATACCGGTATCTGTTATCAATTGAATATCATAGATATTTATAATAACAGAAATTGACCGTGTATATTTATTTATTTAGAGAACTATATATGTGAATGAGAAAGTTTGATGATGATTCTTCTTGCTATGGTGTTGTTATATTGCAGATTACAGCAACCATCCCTGTATACGACCATGCGGTATCAATACTAGAAAGACTTGCAAATATATGTTTACTTTAGAGTACTATTACACTTTGTCGAAAGCATGTTACGACTGCCCATTTAACGCTTCTGATTGCAAGAGACCACATTGCGTTCCTGCTGATGGATCGCCACGTCCAATACTGACAGCAAACAGGATGCTACCAGGACCTGGAATTCACGTAAAATCTCATTTAACAAGTTTTGATACATGTATACCTGTTTTTGTTGAGGATTGTTAATCTCTAGAGTCCTTGATTTTCTTGAATCGTAACGTTGTTGTCTCATTGACGTAAAAGCCTTATTTCTTTTATTCGTTTGCATACATGTACTTTTTTCAAAGAATAATTTGACAAGGAAAGGAGTGCATTATTATAAATTACTTCACTTTTTACAATACATATCTGAAAGTTATATTAGCGCGTGATTTGTTCTATGATGGCTTCTCAAATAATTTCAGTTAAGATATTTCTTTTCATCAATAAAATCAAAATCACATAATGTACAAGAACAACTAAAGAACATAAAAACAAAATTTCAAAACGTAAAAACACATGTTACGTAAAGACACAACCATATAACGAAAGATGAAACTACTAACGTATAAATATAAACCCGCACCCGTTTTTTTTGTATTACGTACCAATTCAATCACACCAGCAATGTCCTATTTCCTTCGTACTTTGTATTTGTATGCATAAAAGTAATTTCAATGAATAAGTGATAAAAAGATGGATTTTTATTAATTGCAGTTCTAACTACAGTAACGTTTGCTGTGATGAATGCCTTGTAGTTAAAGGTGCAATGCACAAGGAAAAATACTAAATAATCTTTTTCAGGCAACAATGATTATAAAATTCCCAGGATTCTGGAAAACAAAAACAAATTTTAGATCGATCGTATAAAAGATATACACGGAATCTTAAAATTGTTATTAAAATGCTGCCTCTACAATTTCTACTTTAATTTACCATCAATCTTATTTAAATTACAAACCCATAAGATTTTGTAAACAAGAAACAGCAAGCAGAATCTTTTTTGCAGATTGTAGTATTTTGGAAAGAGTATGATCAGTTATGATTGACTGCTTTCCGAACAATATGAATGATCACTATAATAAAGAGATAACGAGACGAAATTCCTTTAAACTCAATTATTCTGAAACGTTAATTGTTGCAATTGGCTTGATTCTGAGTTTATCTTCAAATTAGATAACTTCTTTTTTCATAGTTTAAAGAAGCTCTTTTATACTTTGCTAAACGATATACAATCACTTTCTGAACACTTATTCATCGATTAACCTGCAAGAAAAAAGTACTTCAAATCTTCTTATTCCGCAACATATCTAATATCTTAACATCTACTTGAAATCTTGAGTAAAGATTAAAATCTTTAATATTCAAACGAGTGGACAATTTCAGTATAAAAACATATACAAGTACGTGTGTTAGATGCACGTAAAAGACTAATTTATGTCTGTTGTAATTTTAAAAAAGGGCTTACATTTGTTGATTCATGATCATATAATATTTGAGCAGGTTTGTCTTAACGATACAATAGTTGTAAATATAATAAACAACTTATTGGGAGGTGAAGGAGTATCAATTCATTGGCTTGGAATACATGTTGAACCACATATGGATGGTGTGGCAATGTTGACACAGTGTCCAATTCCTGAATATTCATCATTCCAGTACAGGTATCTGTCTTTTGTTGCATTAACTTGAACAAAGTTGAATAGCAATGCATGTTCTCTCTTTTGTCATAAATCAAATACTCGTATATAGTATTTTCTTAGCTACTTCTCCATGCAGAGATCTTCTTCTTTGTAATGACATGTCCTGTCATTCACGATTTTCGGCTTTGAGCAAATATCCGGCTTTGGGCGTTCCTGATGAAGGTAAACAAAAAAAGCGCTTCGTACACATACAATTATAAAGAGTTATAATTTTATTGTTTTTTAGCACGGGGTCAATACCGCTAATTGTGGACTATAAGTCCCTGGGGGTATTATAAGCTCAGTAGCCAGGATTCGGTATCGACATGATTTATAATATACCTTCCTTGAATTGTTCGTTTATAAATCGAGAAATTATTAAGAAACCATGGTTCCAACTCCTTCGGGCAAAGTTTACCTTAAATAGTTTTGGTTATTTATTTATGTCCTTTTTGGTTATATAGATCTTTACCTGTTTCGGTTTGGAAAGACATTACTTGGTTAAGAAACTCGTATCTGATTCATTTGTTCTTTTGAACAGAAAAATGCGTTTTGGGTCAAGGAACAATAAAAGAGCTATGTCACTGATTTTAGTAAAATTTTGAATACAACTTTGCCTCGTTCAACTTTAAATGAAAACAGAAAAAATAATGTAATTATCTCGTTTATTTTTTGAAATATTTGTGATTAAATTCCTTCAAAAAGGTGAATATTTGTACAGAAAGCACATAAAATCTGCGAAAAAATCTTTAAATTTGTCTTAAAATCAACAAATCTCCAATTTTAAATATATAGATTTTTTCTTAATAAATTATATGTTGTTGATACATCAATTTCCGTTTTATGGCATACAACACGATGACTTTTCGATTATTTCGACGTTTTGTTGTATATTTTCACATAGAACACCACTTTGAATAATGTATAACGTTAAAACGAAGTCGGTTGCCCTATTTCTACTTTACATCAATAAAAAGGAAATTTGTGTAACAACAACATATAGTTTTTTGAGAAAAATCTATGTATTTGAAATTTGAAATTTGATGATTTCAAGACAAATTTAAGATTCTTTTTTGCCGGTTTTATGTGCTTTCTATACGAATGTTGACCTATTTTGAAAAACATTAATCACTAATATTTCAGAAAATAAAACAGATAAATACATTATTATTTTCAATTTTCATTTCAAGTTAAACGAGCCAAAGTTGCAGGCAATTGTTTAAAAAAATCTGTGACATAGCTCATTTACTGTAACTTAACCTTTGACAAAACTGTCTTAGTTTTTTACATCCTTAGATTTCAAATATTCGGCTTTCGGCGTTCCTGATATAGGTAAATCCAGACAAGTGCTTCAGTCGAATAAAAGTTATTTAGTGTTATTTTCAATTGTTACGGTTGTGTAATTGTGTGTTGTTCCTATGAAACAAATTTGCACTGAATATGCTGTTGATTCTCTTAGAATTATTCATATTGTAAAAGGTGATTTTGTATGTCGTTTATTATGCATATTTGGCGATCACAAAACATTCCTCAATATATCTTAATTTTGTACACATAAATAATATTGGTCTTTAAGCTCGATTCCCGACGTAGATCCTTTTGCAAAAAGTTCATGCAATGAAATCACAAAAATTACAAAACCGCAGGTACATCTACGTGTACACTTTATTTGTAAAAGAAAGTGTTTTACTGTACAAAGAACTGTTCATGAGGATAACATGGCAGTTTTATGTATAATATATCATATTTACATCACCTTTTCTGTTTTAAAATCTATATAAGGTATAAATGAATATAACAACAAATGTATATGTAGGCATCGCAAATACATTTTCATAAATTTATAATGTAAAGTAATAATTTTGGTGGACTTATAACATTTTTTAATATGATCTTGAAATTATTCAGTGTAAAACGCCCAGCTGTGATTTGATTAAATCCCAAAATTTCCAATCGCATTGATATACGGTTTCTATCTAGTTAATAATACCACAAGAGTATAAATCCCGATTAAAATTCAGTGTTTCATGAAAAAGAGACAAAATATGGCAAAGCGAATACCAGACGAGTTAACTTACAGTAAAATGAGACTTATGTTTACTCTGAGGCAATGTCAAATATATTTTTTTCATTAGTTGTTATTGGCTTTGAACTAGCTGTCAGTAACTGCGAGTACTCTCAGATCTGTACTTAGTGTCTTTCTGTTGTGTGGATGTATAAGTACCCGTTCACGTCCACTCTGTGTTTCTGTTAGATGTAATTCTAGTTGTATCCATCTGATGAGTTAAGCCTTCTTCAACTGATTCTTATAGTTTGTTCTTATGTTGTCCTGTTGCACCACTGTCCCAGGTTAGGGGGAGGGTTGGCGACTTCAAACGAGTTTAACCCGGCCACATTATGTATGTGCCTGTCCCAAGTCAGGTGCCTGTAATTCAGGGGTTGACGTTTGTTGCTGTGTTTTTTTCTGTTCATTATTTTGTAAATAAATTAGGCCGTTAGTTTTCGCGTTTGAATTGTTTTGCATTTGTCATTTTGGGACCTTTTATTACTGACTATGCGACATGGGCTTTGCTCCTTGTTGAAGGCCGTACGGTGACCTATAGTTGTTGATTGCTGTGTCATTTGGTCTTTTGTGGAGAGTTGTCTCATTGGCAATCATACCAAATCTTCTTATTTAATATTTCAATCAAAGACGTTGTGTGCCGATAAAAAGGTTTCAAGAACCCTTAAGCTGAGTAATAAAAATTCAAAGAAAAAGTAGGAACTCACATGTCAAGCATTTGAATAGTATAAAACTTGTCAAATAATCAATTATTGTAAAACGGGGGATGATATCAAGGGTCAATAAACACTATAAAAGACGGACAACACGATGACAAAAATAGTAAAAGACGTAACATTAACAGTGCACAAACACTACAAGGAAATCTGAAGATTAACTAACAATTAATCTAACCAAATACTGTGGGTGAAAACAAAGTGTTCGGAAAAATCACGAGTTTCTGATCCACTACTGACTCCCGTTGTGCTGTACTTTTAGTCAAGTTTTATCTTATGTATTCCCTAAATCCATCGATAATTTCATAAATAATTGGTCTGGTGAATTCACTGACACTAAAATCGGGCCATATATGAAGTTTGCTATTGATACACAGTCTCCATGGACAATGCATTATAATACTGTTATATATAGAAACAACAATCGGGAAAATATAGACTTAAAGACCACTTTTAAGAGGTATTGCACAACATTTTACTGAATCGGAATAAATACTTTTTTATACTTCATATTAATAATTTCAAATTATAATAGTATTCTTAATATCAAATTTGAAAACTTGACAGTTAAAAGTCCAAAATCAAATTTCCTTTTATAAAATTTCTTTTATACTTCGTGTTTCTATTTGTTTACTCTATGTTCCAATTCCTTTTTATATTTTTGTAATATTCGGCATGTCATTTTAACGAACTTAACTTTTCTTATTTCACCTTTGAGTGATATAACCGATTATTTAAACCAAATTATTAAATTTTCGTTCACCAAAATGTACAAAAAGTGAAGCTACATTAAATATATATATCATAAATATCAAAGAATGTTTTTCATTACTGTGACTTACAAAGAGAGACAAAAAAAAACCAGTAACATGAAATAATAATCTTATCTATTGTAGGTTCCTGGCTGTCACACCTGGAACACACTACTGGCATTCTCATGCGGGCATGCAAAATGCAGATGGTTTATTTGGACCCCTAGTTATCCGGGAACCACCAGAAATAGACGAGCATTTAGGGAGATATGATGTTGATGACCCAGAATTCACTGTTCTGATTAACGATTGGTTTACAGACATGATGCCTGGACGGTTATCGTCTCTGCTTCACCGTACTGGAGGTGTTCTATCGGACTCCATGCTTATAAATGGTAACTTGTCTGATTATCGTTTTTACATTTCGATCCGTTTGAATTAGATATAAATTAAAGTTATTGAATTGTCAATATTTTTCAACCATATTTTAATTATTTGTAACAAAGACAATGTCTGTTTAGACCACAGTAACATTTTACACTCTATAAAGATAACATATACAACTACCCCCATTAAAACGAACGTCGCTGCAAATTTACTGTTTTGCATAGCAAATAGGTCATGCTAACGGGCAAAATTCGAGGGTTCTAATTTTTGTACGTCAGTCAATTTTTCCTAAGGGAAGAGGAAGGAAAGATAGGACAAAGAACTTTTTCTTATAAGATAGACAATCATAATTTAACAGTGATTGCAAGTGACGGATCTCCGTTAGAACCCTACACCGTAGACTCGGTAGTAATGTACTCTGGTGAAAGATATGACATAATAGTGCACACTAATCAAGATGTCAGAAATTACTGGATGAGAGCATCAGGAATGTCACTTTGTGGAATCTTAAAAGCGTTTCAGCTTGCTGTTGTTAAATACGAAGGAGCAGCTAAAGAAGCACCTCTAGGGAATAAAGAATGGAACGTAGATACTCACGGTATTGTACGTATAATTTCAAAACTTAATAGAATCTATAACAATTGGCATAAATAAACAAGAACATGTACAAATTTTAAGGTCAGAACTTGCGACTTCAAATTACAATATAAGCTATTTAGATTCATTTGATTAAGATGAAATCCATAAGAAAATCACTTAAATTTTATACGAAATTGATACTTTGTAAAAAAAACAAAAACACAATTTATTAAAAACTGCTACTACTAATATATCGGTTCATGAATCATTTGTTTTTCAGTTTTATTTATAGTTACTGTTATATTCAGTCAAAAGTATGTGAGGTAAAAGATTAAACTTAATAGAAATAAGGAGACGTGGAAATGATTGTCAATAAACAACTATCCACCAGGGTTCAAATGACGTGGAAGTAAGCAAATAAAGGTCATCATACGTTGCGCAAGGAGTTAGTCCAACTTTATAGATTCACAGTGCGCGTTGTATGAATGTACATCTGAATAATAATGACAAACAAAACAATTGAAACTAAAAATAACCATGACTTTGTTGTTTTGATTATAATTGATTGTTTTAAAAGAGTGAAGTTCAGTCATATTCATTTTCAAAAATGAAATATGATTTTGGTCATAAATATGGAAAATGGTAGTAATTTAACTCTGAGCTTAAAATGAAGAAAAGGAGGCAAAATGTGAAGTTAAATTGATCTGATATTGGTTCACATCATATTTGTTTTACCGCTCAAATACATTGTGGCCGATTATATGTTTTTATTGTATTTCGTCCTCCAAAAACATATTTTGATAACTTTCAGATTTTATTAAATATACAAAAAAGCATGATGATTTGATACAATTTTTGATACTGATATAGTTATATATATGTCTGGCTCCGTTTGAGGTTCCTTGGATTGCCTAAGTTATTGTTTGTGATTTTGAGTATTCTTCTTAATCGATTAATTAGATTTGATAATTGGTAAACTAATGTTGACTATATTTATATTGAAAGTTTATAGAAAAATATAAATCAACATGTATTTTTCATGTAGGGGCGTTTTAGACCTGACTTGACGGTATGGAAAGTGCTCATAATTGAGGGTTGCACGATAACTAATAGTTATCAACATCCATTTCATTTCAACTTTGGTAGATACACGTCTCATTGACAATCATACCACATCTCTTTTTTTATAAACAGCGTTGATCAAATACTTGTGAAAACGATAAGATATACACAGAAAGTGTTCGATGCGAATTTATCCGCACTGAGTCTACACCATAAATTAAAACAAAAATCATTCTTTACTATTATGGTATGGGTATACAGTTGTTTTCACAAATATGCCGATTAAAATGTTTTTCTATAAACTGAAATGAAATTAGTTTGAATAAATTACAAAAATATTAGGTTCATACTCGTTGCACATGACATTCACGTTAAAATTCTTAAAATTCTTGTAATAGATAATTCATGTAAGTTTCACGTTAGTTACATTTTGACAGTTTTAAAGATCCGTACAAGTGCATAATTTTTTTACAAAAGAATTCATCTATCAGGAATTTTCTTAATCACTCTCAATCTAACATAAATAATTATTCGTTCATCATTTTTTTAGCAACTAGATCCTCTTAACAAAAAGACAACAGAAGGTTTTGTTGATATATCACAACTAAATTCTACGATGCCAAATGATGAATCGATAAAAGAAGTTCCAGACAAAACAATCTATCTTGGTTATGATTTTAATATAATTGACAATTTCCGAGCACATGACAAGGAGCTCTACAGTGTTCATGAAGTAGATGCACCATTTAGAAGATTCACACAACAAATTAATCATATATCAACAGTGTTCCCTCCTGCACCTGCTCAAACGCAGTACTCAGACATTCCGAGTGTGAGTATTGGTCATATTGAGTTAATATTCATCATAGAGTAACAGTTTGATTAACAAGAGTGCCTATGAAAAATAAGTATAGTTTTTTTTTTTTTATTTAGTGAATTGACCATTACTGGAAATGAAAAACGAGTAGTTTGAGTTGCAAACAGAATTGTTTTAAATATATGCATACATTACGTGAAATACCTGTTTTACATTATACAAAGGAAGTCATACAAACTGTCAACTATTGAATTTCACGCTAAATTAGCATCAAGTAGAATCTTTTTTATACAAATGTTTTGCCATGGTGGTCCATTATTAATATAAATATCATGATTTTTTACTCAAATGTAAACTGAACAAAGGACAAGTTAAGCACTGGTCAACAATACACTCTGAATTATTGAATAATGAGTAGCTCGAATTCCAATAAAAACCAACAGAAGTGAACACATGTGCTCTAGAAAACTAACAATTCTGCCTCAATACCGGTAATCCAGCTTTATTGATATTTTGATATCAAATAATCAGTTGTTATTTCTGGATGTATAAGCATTGGAACTTGTGATCTTGTATTGAAAACACTATTATTTAATTTATATATATATATATATATACATATAACCAGTCTAAAAGGATACAACATCACCAAAAAATGACAATAAATGAACAAATGTAACTATAAATATTTCGGATAACAGATATCCTTCATCAGTATGAGAACGATGTAAAATGAATCAGAACAATCTATTCTGATTATTAAACTAAAGCAATCTTGAATTCTATACAATAAAAAAATTGAAACAGTTTCACCCGAACTTCATATGTAGAGACGCTAATAAACTTTAAAAATTTCCAAAAAACGACTCAAAGACATGCCTAAAATGAAAATAGTAATTAGAGATATGAACTGGCACAACTCTAAAATTCCAAAATGACGTCAGTTAAGATGTTACAACAACTGCGTGTAAATTACATTCCCAAAAAAAAAACAGCACTGATCGATATAAGCTGGTAAAATATGTCAAACAGAGGCTTTTATCATCCCAAATAAATAGCAGTTTTATAATGAAAAGAAAAAATAATAGTAAATTTGGGATAAGGTTAAGAAATTGGACGTGGATGCGTACTTGTACATCCCTACCAAATGAAAAGAACCCTAGTATTTAAACTAGTAAAATTCAAAAAATTCCAAAAGAATCCTTAAAACTGTTAGGGTCAAGTAAGGAACCTGGAGTACCACACGACTTGCACCATCCTGCAGTTGAACAGCTTTTATTAGAAGAGACGTCAGCTTTCACAAATAAGTCTTTCAGACTTGCTTGTCTCCGAAAAGCTAAGACAGGAGGATTGGGAAAGATCTTGGACAATTTTGGGTGCTTGGCAATAGTTTGCCAATTGGCACGGATCAAACGTGAAAGGTTAGTAAAGGCGGGATTGTATGTTAAAACAAACGGAACTATTTTGCTGCGCCTCTTCTGTTTGTACTGTAAAAGTTCATTGCAGCTGTTGTTATTAGCACTCGCAAATCCCTTATCTATGTCCAATTTCTTATAACCTCGTTTGGTCAAAAAACCGCGAAGTTCCTGTAACCGTTTAGTGACAGCCTCCTCAGAGGAGCAAATCCGCTTTACTCTGAGAGCTTGACTGTACGGGATACTTTTTGTACAGTGTTTGGGGTGACAGCTTTGGGGAGAAGGGTACTGATGTTTATCTGTAGGTTTACAGTAGAGATCTGTTGATATGACACCGTCCTTAATAGATGTAGTAGTGTCTAAGAAAGATATTTTGGAGTCGGAAATTTCATATGTAAATTTAATTGACTAGTGTGCGTTGTTTGCAGGTCAAACAGATTAACAAATTTAAACGTGATGATGTGCAAATTAATCACCCTTTAATCAGACCTTCAAAAAATTCAAATAAAAATAAAAAACCTCGCAACCGTAGATTTCGAAGAAAAAGTCAAATTCCGGTCAATTCCAACAACACGGTTGTCAATTTATCAACAGTCCCTTTATCTGAGGACGAAATTAAAGTCTTATCTAAGGGTTTGAATTTTTGCCCCACTCCCAGTAACATAGATAATATGAAACTGGAAGATGACCTTAATAACTTTGCCAGAACCCTCAGAATCAAAGAATATTTTGGTAACAAGGATAATGAGAAGACTCAGACACGTCTGACTCGGAGGAAGAAATCAGAATTCCGCATTTTAGAAAGAAGAGGTCATGGATTCCAAAACCTAGTAAATCTGCTACACTGGAAGATGTTATCGACAAAATCAAATCGGATGTTGTTCATCTAGCTAGCAACAAGTACTCGTCATTTTATAACACCTCTTCTGACGAGAAAAAAGCCATACAATCGCTGAGAAACCGAGATGATATTGTGATAAAACCAGCAGACAAGGTAAGTGCCATTGTGATAATGGACAAAGCTAACTACATCGCGGAAGCAGAGCGTCAGCTCTCTGATGGAAATTTTATAGGAAGCTTAACTATGACCCTACTTCCGAGTTTAGTTCCAAAATTATTACTGCGTTACAAACCATGCACGATGACGGTCACATAGATGAGGATACAATCGGATATTTAAAACCAGAGAACGCCAAGCCTGGTCGATTGTATCTTCTTCCTAAAATACACAAGGTTAACAACCCTGGTAGACCCATTGTATCCGCAAACGGCCACCCGACTGAGAAAATCTCGGAATTCGTAGATTTTCATTTAAGATCTCATGTAGAAAATCTTCCTTCTCACATTCAAGGCACAACAGATTATCTTCGTAAAATGGAATCCATGAACCCTTTTCCTCCGGAAACCCCCCTTGTCACTTTAGACGTCACCTCATTGTATACCAACATACCTCATGATGACGGAATACAATTGTGTAAGGAAATATAAGACTCTAGCAACACCTTAGAACCACCTACCGAATGTTTAGACCAGCTGCTCACTCTGGTTCTGAAATGCAACAATTTCACCTTTAATGGTGAACATTACCTTCAGATAAACGGGACAGCGATGGGGACGAAAATGGCACCGTCATACGCTAATATTTTCATGGGAAAATAAGAGAAACAAATTATTTCAACATCTTTATCCAAACCTCTGTCTTGGTTCCGTTTCAGACATGCAAACAACGCACACAAGTCAATTAAATTTACATATGAAATTTCCGAATCCAAAATATCTTTCTTAGACACTACTACATCTATTAAGGACGGTGTCATATCAACAGATCTCTACTGTAAACCTACAGATAAACATCAGTACCTTTCTCCCCAAAGCTGTCACCCCAAACACTGTACAAAAAGTATCCCGTACAGTCAAGCTCTCAGAGTAAAGCGGACTTGCTCCTCCAAGAAAGCTGTCACTAAACGGTTACAGGAACTTCGCGGTTTTTTTACCAAACGAGGTTATAAGAAATTGGACATAGATAAGGGATTTGCGAGTGTTAATAACAACAGCCGCAATGACCTATTACAGTACAAACAGAAGAGGCGCAGCAAAATAGTTCCGTTTGTTTTAACATACAATCCCGCCTTTACTAACCTTTCACGTTTGATCCGTGCCAATTGGCAAACTATTGCCATGCACCCAAAATTGTCCAAGCTCTTTCCCAATCCTCCTGTCTTAGCTTTTCGGAGACAAGCAAGTCTGAAAGACTTATTTGTGAAAGCTGACGTCTCTTCTAATAAAAGCTGTTCAACTGCAGGATGGTGCAAGTCGTGTGGTAACAGACGATGTCTGACTTGCCAACAAATACTGAATACTCAAACATTTACTTGCCACTCCACTGGGTCTGTGTACACTATATTTTGTAATGTAACTTGCAAAACACAGAATGTTGTATACCTTCTTCAGTGTCGATGTGGCATGCAGTATATTGGCGAGACAGAACAGCCATTCAACAAACGCATGAATGGTCATCGAAGTGACTACACCTGCAAGCCCGACATCCCCGTAAGTCGTCATTTGAGATCACCTGGGCACGCCCAAGCTGATCTCAAAAACCTTACAGTCACAATCATAGACCACAACGAGAGTTGGTCAAGGGCCGAAAGACTTGCTCGGGAAAGGTTTTGGATAAGAAAGCTAAGGACAGTTTCCCCAGAGGGCATTAATGAAAAAACATAGAATGAGTCACTCATTTTCCCTACCATCACTCATTTTCCTGACATCATTTGTTTCCAGTTACTCTGGCTTCCTTACTTGACCCTAACAGTTTTAAGGATTCTTTTGGAATTTTTTGAATTTTACTAGTTTAAATACTAGGGTTCTTTTCATTTGGTAGGGATGTACAAGTAAGCATCCACGTCCAATTTTTTAACCTTATCCCAAATTTACTGTTATTTTTTTCTTTTCATTATAAAACTGATATTTATTTGGGATGATAAAAGCCTCTGTTTGATATATTTTACCAGCTTATATCGATCAGTGCTGTTTTTTTTTTGAATGTATTTACACGCAGTTGTTGTAACATCTTAACTGACGTCATTTTGGAATTTTAGAGTTGTGCCAGTTCATATCTCTAATTACTATTTTCATTTTAGGCATGTCTTTGAGTCGTTTTTTGGAAATTTTAAAAGTTTATTAGCGTCTCTACATATGATGTTCGGGTGAAACTGTTTAACTTTTTTTATTGTATAGAATTCGAGATTGCTATAGTTTAATAATCAGTATAGATTGATCTGATTCATTTTACATCGTGCTCATACTGATGAAGGATATCTGTTATCCGAAATATTTATAGTTACATTTGTTCATTTATAGGCATATTTTGCAGATGTTGTACCCTTTTAGATTGGTTATATATATATATATATATATATTCATAAAATAAATAGTAAAATAAGTAAACAATTTAACAGTTCCAGTTCAATCGATTTCATCCTTCCATTGGGACTCTTCAGGATAACTGATTTAGCGTAGTTATGGGCGACGTCGTTAAGGAGGCTTGTGACGTTCCGGCATTGTTCATAATTAGAAGTTATCGGGATTTAATCTTGATCGGAACGTTGTTATGAAATAACGTTCCATCTCCTTTTATCATTTATTTATTGTAATTAATTAGTTTTAAATCTAACGATTCATTTAATCTCGGCTTGGGTCATTTAAATTCGTTTTGTTTGTTTTATCTGATGTGAAAAATGTTCAACACACTAACATTCCGCTTGAACGATCAAACAAAGGTGTTAATTACCGGTCACCATAAACATGTCATTTTTACTGTTATGTATATATATCTGCACATGTGAAAATTGTTTTTTTTACGCCTATATATATATATATATGTTTTTAATATATCAGGAGATAAGCCTGATCAATTCAATTTTGTTTGAGTATTGCGTTCATAGAACATAACGTATGAATGAATGCAGATATAGAGATATACCAATCAGACAGCAACTTTACAATACAAAAATCCGTGTATTTTTTACATTCGTATTGACTCAATAATAGTATTTGTCACTGCATTGTTGAACTTAGTCTAATAAAACATGACTGTATCTTATAATTTCGTTAGGATGTAATCTTTTTTGTATTATAGGATCTGTTTTGTAATGAAGATTCATTGAAAGCAAACTGTACTAGTGAATTTTGCCAGTGTTTCCATGTTATTGAAATTGGATTAGGAGAAGTAGTAGAAATTTTTTTTAGTGGACGAAGGTGCTACTTTTAATACAAACCACCCATTTCATCTACATGGAAACTACTTTAGAGTTATAGGACTGGATAAGGTATACGAATATTGACAGGAGAAAGTATACAGACGCTGTGGTTTATAGATCACAAAAATTGTCAATTCCATGTTTAATCTAATAATCCTTTTTGATTTCATGATTCATATTCCCACATGCCGATTCGAAGGAAAATCTAAAGGTGATCATTGTTGTAAACATATCATGAATTAAAATAACAATTATCTTATTTTTGACTTAAAAGTGTTACATTGTTGGTCTGTTGTGATTTTAAATATTTGTATGATAGTTTGTTGAAAAACAAATCAAAAACATTAGTTCTTTTACCATCATGATCTCATTTATAGCATGCATACCATAGAAACTAATATACTATAGACCGACTATGTCGCATATGTAGGCTAGTTTCATGGTCGTTGAATACTGTTCACTTATCTACAATTGAGAGAAGTTTTCCAATGTAGCAATGTGGACAACATAATCTGTTTTTATATTATTTATTTATATACCTCTGTTCTGCCAGTTAAACCCTTATAGGTAGTATTATGATAATAAATGAATATAATTCTGGTATTTTAGCTTAATACATCAACATCAATAGAGGAAGTCAAGGCATTGGATGCAAAGGGCATGATTCATAGAAAACTTGATAGAGCCCCATTGAAAGATTCAGTAATGACTCATGATGGAGGATTTACCATTCTTAGACTGCATGCAAAAAACCCAGGTTGGTAATTATTTCCGTTTAAAAAAATCGAATATTTATGAAAAGTCAAATTGAGAATAATGAAAATGGTAAATACCAAGTACCAAAAAACTATGGCAAGCCGTGTTATTATTTATTCTAACTTCAAGATATCTCATATAATATATAAAATATCTCATATAATATATAAGATATCCTATATAATATATAAGATATCTTATATAATCTAGTTTTTATAAGATATCGTATAAACTTTATAAGATATCTTCTAAACTTTATAAGATTTCTTATATACTTTATAAGATATCTTATAACATTTAAAAGATATCTTATAAAGTATATAGGGTCTTTGCATTGGAAATAAACACATTTATTCTAAAACCAGTTGTTGGCATGATACGGGTTATGTTCTTCTCATATATTTTGTGATGGTATGATACTAAACCCCTAACGGGAGGGATTGTACTTGATTTTCATATGATGAAGACATAATCTTTCAATCAGTTTAATTGAGGTCTGGAGCTGGCGTGTCAGTAAGTGCTAGTAGTCCTTTGTTCATTATCTATCCTATCATTGTCATTTTACTTGGTTTCTTTTGTTACCTATTCTGACATCGGACTCGGACTTCTTTTGAACTGAGTTTTACTGTGCGTATTACTATGTGTCTCTTTATTCTACATTGGCTAGAGGTAAAAGGGGAGGGTTGAGATCTCACAAACATGTTTATCCCCGTCGCATTTTTGCGCCTGTCCTAAGTCAGGAGCCTCTGGCCATTGTTAGTCTTGTATGTTTTTTGATTTTAGTTAATTTATATGTTTTGGAGTTTAGTGTGACGTCCATTTTCACTGAACTAGTACACAATTTTATTTAGAGGCCAGCTGAGGACCACTTCCGGGTGCGGGATTTTCTCGCTGCGTTGAAGACCCATTGGTGGCCTTCAGCTGTTGTCTGCTCTTTGGTCGGGTTGTTGTCTCTTTGAAATATTCCCCATTTCCATTCTCAATTTTATAAGATATCTTATAAAGTGATATATTTTAAACTTTATATCTTATAAACTTTATAAACTTTATATAAGATATCTTATATACTTTATAAGATATCTTATAAACTTTATAAGATATATTATATACTTTATAAGATATCGTATAAACTTTATAAGATATCTTATATACTTTATAAGATATCTTATATACTTTATAAGATATCTTATAAAATTTTAAAGATATCTTATAAAGTTTAATTGTTTTAATAGTGATTAAGATTATAAAACAATGTTGACTGCTTTACCCCTATTCTTGACATTTTTATCTATTATGTCTGTTTGCTTTGTTCACACATTGTTGTCAATATAATTGAATTTTATGAGACTGTCATACAAGTGAGAGGTTAAGCTAGCTATAAAACCAGGTTTAATTCACAATTTCCTACATAAGGAATTCCTGTACCAAGTCAGGAATATTACAGTTGTTTTCCATTCGTTTTATGTGTTTGAGCTTTTAATGTTGCCATTTGAACAGGGACTTTCCGTTTTGAATTTTCGTTTGTTATTTTTGTTATTTTTATTTTTATAAAGAAAATTATATGAGATATCTCATATACTACATCAAATATCTTATAAATTATATGAGATATCTTATAATTATATGGGATATCTTATATAGTATATGAGATATCGTATATAAATTATAAGATATCTCATATAATTTTCTTTATAAGATATCCTATTTACTTTATAAGATATCTTATTTACTTTATAAGATATATTATAAACTTTAGATATCTAAAGTATATAAGATATCTAAAGTTTATAAGATATCTTATACAAACTAGATTATATAAGATATCTTGTATATTATATGAGATATCTCATATATTATATAACATATCTTATAAAGTTTATAAGATATCTTCTAAATATTTTTTTATATAAGATATCTTATATACTCTAAAAGAGATTTCATATATTTTATAAGACATCTTATATAATTATAAGATATCTCATATAGTTAATAAGATATCTCATATAATTTATAAGACATCTTATAAAGAAAACTATATGAGATATCTGATAAACTATATGAGATATCTTATAAACTTTATAAGATATCGTATAAACAATATAAGATATCTTATATACTATATAAGATATCGTATAAACTATATCGGATATCTTATAAGCTATAACAGATATTTTATAAAGTTTATTAGATATCTTGAAGTAAAAATAAATAGTAAAACGGCTTGCCATAAAGAAATATATTTCAAACCATATTTCATATCTTAACGTTCATGTTCAAGAACCTGCATCAGCTAGCTAAAAATCACATACAATTTCTTCTCATTTATGAATGAAGGAAAAGAAAATCAGTGAATCTCATTACAGTCGTAACTAATACAATCATATTTATAGTGATATAAGGATATGAAAACAATAACCTTGAAATAAAAGAAACCAGTTAGACTCTCTAAAAACTTTTTTTTTCTTTTCATTTTGCTGTTTTATTTCGTGTTAAATGTTATTGTCCCAAATGACCGAATCAAATAAAATATGCAAATCTGTAAAAGATATCGAAAGGAAAGAAGACCTTAAAAAGAATAAATGAACTGACAAACATTTTTCGATAATGATTATCCAATAAGATGTGTATGTTCTTTATTGAAATTCATTAAAAGTAAAAATACATATGTCAATATCGTAGAATAATCTTAAAGTAATTAGTCCACAGTAACAACTGAAAATGCAAGATAAGTACATACAATTTTGTTCACATTTAGTTATGAATCATTTGACAAATTCAAAATGTTTATTAACGTACATACATGTAGTCTGGATTTAGAGTTCGATCTATATAACGTAAAGAACAATTTGCTTTAATGTTCTATTAGTTGGAGCCTTGGGTTCCAGCAGGACTACACTCTCTTCAATGCTTTATTGTTTATAAAATCTGATGTTTTAACATTTTCTGTGATATAATGATGTAATGCTGCAATACTGTTTTACACGATTTGCATTTTTGTTCTGTACAAAACATTTGTTAATAAGCTTTCTTATGTAATTGTTTTTTAAGGTCCCGAAGGAAACTTTTTCTCAGTTAAGTGAATGTTCATTTTGAACAAGTAGAAACTGTTTTTACATATTATACTCTCTGAAGTTTTTGTGTGTTTTTCAGATATTTGATTTCGAATACCGCTGACGAGACATTTTCGATATTTTAATGCATTATTTTATGTTATTTTTTCAAAGCAAAAAAGACGGTTTTTAATGCTTTTTAATGTATCAAACTAACAAAAAAAATTCTGTTCTTCTTCCACTACAAGAAAATAAAAAGTAAAAGTGTAGACATGATTCATTTCCACAATTATTAGTACACAGTATAATCAATATAAGGATGTAAGGAGAGCATATCAAGGAAACCTGTACATTTTTCAGGTTTTTGGTTCTTCCATTGTCACTTTCAAATACATACCGAGATGGGTATGGGTCTTACCTTACAAGTTGGAACACCGAGTCAACAGCCAAAAGTCCCGAAAAAAATTCCAAAATGTGGGCCTTGGATATATGAAGGTTATGAAGAAGAGGAACAAGCGTCAAACGATTGTCCAACAAATAAGGAATGCAGAGTTATGATGTCTTTTGAATGTTACGTTGTGCAATTTCTAATGTTTTATACAATTATGTTGCTGTATTGACATGACTTAGAATGTTTGTAAAATGTTTTGATACGTATTGAAATTGTCATCGACATTCCTGAGACATTTTATATACTTTTCGTCTGTTTTCCTCTTATTCTTTAACCGTTTCTTGAAATCAAAATTAGATAATTTATATAACTATGAGTACACGAAGCTGAAACAAAGCATTTAAAGTCCAATGATTCCAAAGAAAAATTTCTTAATATAAATTGATACCTCTGTCATAAAATATTTTAGAAAATAAATTTGTGATGTACGTCATATAGACAGCATCTCAGAAACACAAAAAATCAAAAGGTATCTAAATGTTAACAGACCATTTTGATCAGGACAAATGCACAAGTATCTACAATATGCCAATATCTAAATTTGTCGGACTGTAAAAGAGTTATAAATAAATTTAACAGACTAACAACTGCCATCAACGCATCATTTCTTAAATATGAAAAAAAACATCAACATATAACAGAAGACAACCACTGACGTATTTTTCTGACTTGAAACACAAACAAAAGTCCACACAATACTGCAACGACAACTAACGATGTAGCAAATAAATAAGTTCAATATACAACCGGTTGTGAAACTATGTGGTTTTGAAGCGTAGGCAGTCGCACTTATCTTATTGCTTTGTACAACTCTGGTTAATAAGTGGCATTCGTTAATTTCCCAATCGGGCAAAACTGACTAGTAAACTTGTCAGATGTGACACAGTTTTTCCATAATTGTCAACCAAACCATAGCGTAAATACAATTTTTGAAGGCATTATTGCAATTTCACCATTGAAAACCTTGGTTCAACAGCTCCTTTGAAAGCAGCAATTATGATAGGAAGCGAGATTCCTGAAATATCATTTATTTAAAAAGTTGTCCACTTCGCCGGAGGTACACAATGTTGAATACTTGATATGATCGAAGGCGAATCAAATACGATGGATGAGTAAAGTAATAGTATTTTAGATGTTAAGTTGTTATTGTAATTTTAGATATTATCATATCAATATGTAATGAAAACTTGTTCCGTAATATTAGATGTTGTTTACATCGGATCTATAAAAAAGGTAAAAAAATCGGACAAATCTTGCACTGAAAAGGATTATTTTTTTTTATACCGATTTAATTGAAATTTTTACGAGGGGAATTTTATCTATATTATAATATGATATCATATTACTAAATTCATAAACATTCAATTGTGTCATCTAAATTTGTTGCAATGGTTTGCTAATATATTTAGAAATAATGATTTAAGGACCCAGCATCCATAACGAATAAAGAGAATTAAATTTGTCATTTTACAATGTGTTATGTGCACACCTATCATGCCTGATATAAGATCATGTCATTTTAAAACTGAATACACGTATAGAAGAAACTTCCTCGTTAAATAGGGAATTATGATTTCGGGTACGACTGTACTATCTGAACAGCAGCTAGTGGAGATGAATATACCAATGAGACAACACGAGAACGGAAGTTCACAAAAATGACACCTAGAGGTTGTCATAGAATATAAAACGGTCACACAACACCTATATTGAAAGGAAATATACTGTAACTGTAAACAATCTGTAGCCTCATTTGATTTAATCTTCATCTTAGACCTAATAATTTTGTCCATCAAAATAAGTGTATTATTTACTAGTACAACACATACCAAAATAACTGTATTAATTATATATTATTTAGATTTGGCAAAGTGAATAAAATTTCTATCCCAAATGCTACAGTAACTGTAAACTGTTTGAAATTTATTTTTATGAAACTTCACCCTATGAATCAATATTTAACACAGCTTGTTAACCTCAATTAACATTATATACCTGTTTTCAAGTTTTAACGAGTATACCCACATGTCCTACGACACAGGCCAGTAACAGTTTATTGAAAGGCTGCATCATAAGCCATACAAATTGAAAGAAGTTTTATGAGAATACAGATTTTCGGGCTTGGAAGTCAAAACGATTTTTCCGTGAAAATTCTGCAGAAAAATAGGGGATGACAAAAAAGGAAAACATGCTAGAATCAACCAAAAATGGCTGCACTAAACAATGCATAACAAAAGAATATCAATCAAATGGGTTATCAAAAAAGAGATCATGATCTTGACCGAATAACATAATTTTGTTAATAGAAAGTAAGTAAAACTTTATTTTGCTTCAGCTTATTGAACATAAGCTCTGATGAACTTAATATAAAATATAAAATCTGAGCGAATGACCCAGTGCAAACAGGTATAGGTGCAAATCCCACCTTGTTTGAAACGAAAATTCTGTTTGCCAAAAATCGTTTGCATTTCCACCCAGAAAATTAATTAGTTGTCTTCTTGTGGAGATGTAGACGACACATATGAACTCTTCAATCCACGAACAGCCAATAAATTCATCACGAGTACCATTTCAGACTCATGGTGTCACTGTTTTTTTTTTGTTACGGATTTTGCTGTCAACATTTTACGTTTTCATATGATTTTTTTTTGTTGTGAATCGCTCTAATAAGCACTTGTGCCCAGATCAATAGTAGACCTGACGATGTAAAATACTTACTTTACAGGACATCCCGTTTTCCTTACATACATCTTTTGCATATTTGCTGGTCCCTTTCTAGTGTAAAAATATGTTAAACTGCTTCATAAGCTTACAAAGCTTTCTTAAATTTAAATTTATGAATTATTAAGAAAAGCTTGAACTCCCTTAGGCATAGTTGACCTCAGATGGATTAGGCTTTTATTTTTGGGTCCTTTTATTGTCAAATATCTCATCAACAGTTTCGGTTAATATACGTCCTTTGGCTTTCAAATATTCGGATATGAACATTCCCGATGAAGGTAAATCCGGAAAAGCGCTTCGTAAGCATGAAAGGTATGAGGTATTATTTTCCTTTTTACTAAAATGTACATCATTATCTATAATTTTCGATCTGCATTACAGTATTCATAAAAAGCAGTCCACGTATTCGATTATTATAAACAATTTGATCTCTCTGAAATCAAAAGTTTTCATGTTTTTTTTTTTTAATTTTTCTGTTTTTATTCGTGTAAAATGTTGTTGTACCAAATGACCGAATACAATTATGATTATCAGACTTTGTTATATACATAAAGTATGACAAGCTGTAAAAAATATAGAAAGTAAATAAGACCTTAAAAAGATAAATGAACTGCCAAAAGATTTCTCGATAATAAGCATCCAATTAGATGTAAATGTTTGTTTATTGTAATTGAAGAATCCTTGGATATATGGAGGTTATGAAGGTTATGAAAAAGAAGGACAAGAGTCAAAAGATTGTCCAATAAATAACGAATGCCGAGTTATGATGTCTTATGAATGTAAAGTTATGCAATTTCTAATGTTCTATACGTTTATGTTTCTATTTTGACATGACTGAGACTGTCTATAAAATGTATTGATACGTATTGAAATTGTCATAGACATTCCTGATATATTTTGGATATTTTTCATCTGTTTTCCTTTCCTTCTTCAACTGTTTCATGTAATCAAAATTAGAAAAAAATATTTGACAATGAGTACACGAAGTTTAACCAAATGCGTTTAAAGTCCAATGATTCCAAAGAAACATCATATTGATAACTTTGTCGTATAGTTACAAAATACATTTGTAATATACGTCATATAGACTTGTTCCGTAATTTTAGATGTTGTTTACATCGGATCTATAAAAAGGTTAAAAACAATCGGCTATAATTTGTACTGAAAAGGATTAAAATTTTCTATTTTGTACCAATTTTATGGAAATTTTTACTAGGGGATTTTTGTTTTATTACAATGTTATTTCATTTTACTAAATACAAATACCTTCAACTGTGTCATCTTAATTTTTTACAATAGTTTGTTAAGATATATAGAAAGATTGATTTAAGGACCTAGTATTCATAACGAATAAACAGAATCAAGTTGTCATTTTACTATGTGTTATGTGCACTCCTATAATGACGTATGAGCTAAGATAATGGCATTATAAACTGAATACAAATATAATTTTAGAAACTGTATCATCAACTAGTACATTTGGAGTACGACTGTACTATTTGATCAACAGCTACTTGAGATAAATATACGACACTGAGAAAAGAAAAACACAAGGAAACACAGAGATAGCCATAGAATTAAAAGCATTAGGTATACAAATATAGATGATTACGAAGACTGAACTGAGCGAAAATGCTTGACAATTTTTACATCACTTTTTGTTGTCTATTGTCATAAGAATTGGGACGAAGAAAATGTATGTGTATGCCTTAATGTATCACTGACGTGCTAATATTTTGACAGTTTCCACACTAATTTTGACAAAAAAGGAGTCTGAAATTTATATTTTTGATAACTATTAAGCCAAACGACATGAAAAAGGATTGCATTTCCTGATTACTCATTCATGATAATTTTCATAAATATCCAAATACGCTAGAAACCCAAATCACAGCAAAAACAACAGGTAACCTTCATACTGATCTCGCATCTACAAATAGACAGCGTCGTGTAAGCTAACCTATAATGATGTAAGTTTATATATATATACATATTGATATTAAGGTCACCATGGACCGAAGGTAAAGGAAAAATCATTGACATCACTTGTTCGTTCTTGTCCTCTGAAGTCACTCTGCCAATCTTGACCTAACATGGTAACTGATCACACTCGTGCTTAGGTTATCTAGTTTAAAAATGTGTCACTTTTACCCATCAAGCAAAACATGAGGTCACTGTTGTAGCAAATTGAGGGTAGGAATAAAATCAGGATTTAACTTTTATGTTTCTAAAATTATAAAAGATTGCAAATTCATCCTTAAACAACCAACACGTCATAATCTGCCATGTTTATCATAAGTATAAAAAATTCCGTAAATTAACCCTTTTTACACACGTTTGCGTTTTTTGTCAATTAGAATATAAACCTCAACAGAAATCAACAGTTAATAGCAAAAAATAATCAGCAAAACAAGATCTACATATAAGATAACAATACCAAAGCCGTTATTCCCTATAGAAGTTTTGTACACAGTTTGTATAGTACACAGTTTGTGGTCTTGTTTTTTGTGTTGGAAAGTATAAAAAGAGTGAGAGAGGCTGTCAACAGGAAAAATATAAGTAAGTAAAAATCTACAAAAAAGATAGTATTTTTTTCGAATTATTCAATCGATTCCTTTTTTAGCAGCTCCCTCAGGCAAAATGGACCAGAGATAGATTTAGCTATTATTTTATGTCCCTTTTGGACATACAGCTCTTCACAGGCCTAATACATCCTTGGCTTTCAAATTTTTGACTTTGAGCGTTCCTGATGAAGGTAAATCCAATAAAGCGCTGTGGACGGATAAATTTAAATAAGCGTTATTTTCATTTTTATAGTACTGGGTCGATACCACAACTGGAGGTATCATCAGCTCAGTAGTCAGTTCTTCGGTACTAACATGATTTATAACAAACATTTCTTAAACTGTTCGTTTATAGATTTAAATTTTGTTTAGAAACGAAGGTTTCAACTCCACGTACGGGTCTAGTGTATAAGTGCTATGGGTAACTTAAGAGACAATGACCACATGGAGTATTCCATAATCTGGCCAGCCGTCAATAGTTTATTTGGCCTATGTGACATACAATGTTTACTACCGATTTGGTTCCTTGCATTATCAACATAATGGGTGCACCAAGTAGAAAAAGATCTTTTTATTGTTCAGGAGCACTTGAGATCACTTTAAGGTTTTGGTGGGTTCATGTTGATCAGTCTTCAGTTTCATATGTAGTGTTTTGTGAATTTATTTGTCTTTTCGTCCTTGTTCAAGTTGTCAAGTTTCCTTTTGATTTTGAGTTCTGTGTGTTCCTTTTATACCTTACGCCTCTGTTTTACTATAATTATACATGTGTAAAGGTGGATCTTCATCATAGCTTTTCAATAATAAACATATTCAACAATGTCGATTAATGACTTAGCATGTATAACACAAATGTGAGTTAATTTAAGTTTTCAGCTGCATCTTATTATGAATTTAATTACATAAATATATGAAATGTGAACATGACCTTTCAAAACTGAATAATTATACTACATGAATGTTTCATAAGGAGACGCAATTTTGAGTGAGGCTGACAACAATCGCAAGGCATTCCAAAATTAGATTTGATTTCTCAATAAAGTGCATTATTCATGATTGCACGTGCTTCCAATGACAATGTCACAACAATGCATATGAAATGAACAAAAAGCTTGATATATAACAATTCTTAAATACATACATGATGCAAGATACGTCATCACCAAAACGCGAATCCATAGCAGTAACAACAAGTGGGACACAGCAGCTTATGAATTTAAATAAACGTAAATGAGACAACAAAACAAGAACGAAAGTTGACCGAAATAAACATCAAGATATATATATACAATATATTATATTTGACCAGCACAGATATTGCAGGAAATATAAGATCCTAACCCACTTTCGTCTTCCCAAGATTTGAGTAAATAGGATAAAGCAGAAAGTACCAAATATTCGATACCAAGGATAAAGTTCAACAGAGTAAATTAGATATAAAGGACGACAGAGAGAATGTTACTATTGACATATTGTGATTTTAGGGAAAAAATGCATACAGATATATTAATCAGATATTGAAATGCGAGTTCTCATTATTGTGATACTCACCCAGTTGCATTATTCGCCTCAATAAAAACCTCTGAATAATTTCAGAATTTACAGTATTTGATTATAATTGCATATACTTCCATCCAATTAAAAATACAAAAGTGATATAAGTTATCCATATAATGACAATATAATTTTTTTTTAATTTATTTGGTAAAAGGGAGATAATCTATTTTGAACAGCGTAATATGCGGACAAATAGTAAACATTATTATTGTTAAACGTTCCTCGCGAGTTATATCACAACGTGTTTTTTTTTTAAAGTAGTGCAAATCCCCCCCAAAAAAATGTCCTGATACTGTGCTGGTGATACAAGCATATGTCCTGGTTTAGTGCAGCTATGTCATGGTTCTGTGCTCCTATTGTTTAAGTAAAAAGTGCCAAATATTCATGATCAATGATGCTGAAAATTTGTGTAATTGATAGAAAAGACACCTAGCATTTATTTTGTAGCTAGATGAAATATTTCAGATAAGAAATTAAACATCGGCCTGATTTATGTACAATACAATAAACAAAAACCAAATTTGATAGACAGCAACCAACGACAATAATATAAAACCTGCAAAAATCAGTTGAAAAGAGCTATCCCATGTTATCATAAATAATAGAAAAGCATACTAAGCTTCTGGTTATTTGAGAATAAAAAAAAAATACATCCTTGTCTTTTGGTCACTGAGTATACCACATCTTTTATATATTCATTCTTCAATCTTTTTGCTTAATATTGATCGAATGTATGACTCAAACAATTAAATGTTAAAAGTTTTGCATAAAAAAAAGTGTGCTTAAAAATAATGTCCCATCGTCCCGTACAAATATATTATATGTCTGATACTTATGTTTAGTATACATTATGAAATTCAAGTTACATAATTTTATAATTGATATTTTCTGGTGTTTGTGTATGTATTTCAAACATACGCTTTTGACAACATGGACGTAAAATTTTTTTTCGCCAAAACTACTCAAACAAATTTCAATGTACCATAACTTTTTAAATACTGTATGTAAAATGAGACTTTTTATAAACACGTGCTACTCATTATGAATTTATGATATATTTCAACAAACAATTTGCATGATAAGTCATGTGACTTATCGACAAATGTCATGTGGCACATAAAAAATAACGAAATTAATAAAAGAAGTGACAAGAGTTATTGCATGGAAATAGTGTAAAGACGATAACAAAAATGGTGTGTATTCATACATAGCAAATAAGATATTCGTATTATCTATTTATTAAAAAATGCATTTTATAGACTATGCTAGTCAAATAGTTCTTTTGGTCATAATTGACAGTTTCGAGTTTCTGGAAAACAAACGATAACCAAATTACTTAAGTGGAGCCACTTTACATCTTTCATCTCTTAAATTTTTTTGAAGACAGAAGAATAACAGGTTTAAAGTTGTTAATTTTCTCCATGCACTTGTTTTTTTTTTATGTGAGATTAAAATAAAAACTTTATTTGACCATTTTTAACTCCTTGCTTGATCATGAATGAAACCTGGATTGCCTGGTTATTAGGCTGAGATGCGTAACATGATACATTTTTTATTCTTTCCATTACAGATACAGTATTTGCCATTTTTTTTTTTAAAGCAGAACATTATTTCAAATTAGCATTGTGTTTGCAAGTGATTGTTCAAGAAAACAATATGAAATATACGATGATACACCATGACAATACTCGTTGTTTCCCATTTTTTTTTGTGAATTGCATCAACGAAAAGATGAACATAGCTTTTTTTAATTTCGAAAGAAAAAAAAATACAAAACTTATGAAAATACACAAAAATGAACGAATGATTAACATGTTCTTCTTATTTAGCATTTAGAAACAGTGGTATTTTGTTGAAAACAATGTTTGCAAGGATCACTATTATTGTTATATTTGCAGTCTCTCGCTGTCTTATCTCCATAGTGACATCGTAATTTTGTTTCATAGATATAGCATATACACCATCACAATTCCACATTGATACCGACTTTCTTATGTTTCTGTATGCATGGCATTTACATTTCGTATTTACTACGTTAGTTTTGTACATTTTCATGCTATACAGACTTCATACACAGTGTTGGTGTCCTTACACAAAAACGGCTAAAATAAAGTTCTAAGAAAGAACGACTAAAATCGACACTTCATTAATTTTAATGTCACCATTACGAATTGGTTTACCGGTACATTTTGTCGGTGTTTTGGGACCACTGGCGACAATGTTTTGCATTCTAAGAACATTCGTTACCGGTCAAAATAGTCGTCTGATCTGTATTTTACCTATAGTGTCCTTTCCCGACTGTGACATTTTGACTGAGTGTGTATTCGTATTTTGGGTGATGCATGCATAGCAAGAGACATGTATCATATCGACGTAACAGCTCCCTTTGAAGTTGATGCTATATTCTTTTAGAATTTTTTTTACCTTTGTTTGTATTTTTGGCATCAGTTTATTAGTTTGAACATCGGTAAACTACTGTTGCTAACAGTGCTGAAATTAAGGTCCCTAACTTGAAACAGGCATTAAAATTTGCGGATTGGTTCAACTTTTTTTTTTAAATCTCATCCCTCTCCATTTCGAATCGCGATCAGTGGACTAAAACGTGTGCATACAATTATGTACAAAAATTCAGTTCATGAACTTATTTTATTTCAAAATAACGGGAAAATAACAAAACCACAAAAAATCAACAATTTATACCGTACTTAGGAATGTTCTCAGTTGCTAAAATCAAGCATAAAGTACTTTTCATGTTGGTATGAAATCATGGCGTCTTTATGTCGGTAGCTGTACTTTAAAGACGATTTCATACATTAACGTCATAACCAGCATAGGAAGACATGATCTGTGCAAAGCACAAAGCATGTAAACTTTACAGAGAGCCAAAGGACACTTTATTTTTTTCTTTAAATGATAATTGAGCGAGTCAACGCTATTCACAAAAGATAAAACACGTATTTATTGAACATCAACAGTATGATTATTACCATTATCGATAAGTCAAAGACTTTTTCTTAACTCGTTAGCTTTATATTAAAAATTATCGTAGAAAAGTAATGCGAAACACGACTGTTATCAAATTCCTGCAGGTGGAATCATACTCCCATAATTAACCTCTATAAATATATATATATATTCCTGCTGAAAAATATTTTAAGTAATGAACACAAATTGTTGGCAAATTCAAATTGACGCACTACAATTGGAGCTTACTTAGTTCCATTAGTTTGCATTCCGATCTTTGAATGTACAGAACTTGTTGTTATTCTGGATATTAGTATACTAAATTATGTAAATTTGAATACTGAACTATACCAAATAAAAAGACTAAACTGGTATTAAGTTTATATGAAAATGACAAATTAATGTTAACTCTAACTTGAGGTAAAATGAAAATAATGTGCTTATAAACAATTACAACATGTAAAGTTTAAGTCTAGTATGTGTTTTTTTTTCTAATATAAACTGTATGAGAATAAAGCGAACACTGCAAATCTTTTTTTGTTTGTTTTCTGATCTTGATGTAAAATTAAGTGTTGAAAGTAAACAAATAACTGTTATCAAAAATTATGCAAAGAAACTTAATGAGACAACAAATCATCGTAAAACTACTGCTAAACTGGAGAAATTGTGTTCCACTTGCTAAAACTGTCAATTTTCCTTTAACACCAGAAGGCCAGTCATAGTATACCCAACTTTTATCCTCGAGTTCTAAATCTCCGTTTGTACAAATGTAAACATCTCTTTGATAAAGATTAGCATTTTTTACATCTGATGAAATTTCTATTTCAAATACTCGTTTTGTTCTTGTAATTGATTGGCTCTGCCAATTATTTGCGGCAATTCTTGACGCTTCATAATTAAAAGGTGACATCTTAGTCAGATATACTCCTTCTCCTGCAGCTCCTGAAGATGAACTCTGAATGTATCCCGATTTTTTAATGGCATCGCCACTAGCTATTGATGTGTAATGAAAGTATTTTTCACCGGAAACACCTAACAAAGTCAATATAACTGAAAAGAAGATAAATATCGTAATAAGATCAACTGTATGTTTAACATTGTTTTTCAAACTGAGTATATAAGAGTCTGCGCCGGCCAAAAACAATCATCGAAATTAAATAAGGAATAACTTTCATGTTTTTGTTCAGTTATTTTTTGCAATTTTCATGTAGTCCGTTACTATTATTTGTAATTCAGACTAATTTTCTAAAACGTTATCCTACAAATAATAATGTGTTCTTTCTTTATATTTGTATTTATTTTGTATTTGATAGTGAGAATGTCAGAAAATTAATGTTAGTTCATTTTATGAATTTCTTTACAGTTATAAATTAATGATTACTGTTATATCGGTGCTTTATATCTATTGTTTTACGTTAGTTCTTCTTTGTTCTTCGTACAAATCTATTAAGTGACGGCAATTGCAACTAAAATTTTACAGTCTGTTCTTATTTTGTGCTGTTCCACCACTGTCTCAGGTTAAATAGAGGGGAGAGCGCTTACAGCGGTGTTTAGCCCCGCCACATTCTGTGTGTTTTTGTCCCACGTCAGGAGCCTGTAGTTTAGTGGTTGTCGATAGCTATATATATAGTTCATGTCTCTTATATCTGCTTTTCAAAAAATTGTATAAATTAGGCAACTAGTTTTCTTGTTTGAATTGTTTCACATTTTTATTTTGAAACCTTTCATATCCGACTATACAATATTAGTTAGTCGCATTGTTGAAGAGTGTACGATGACCTATTATTGCCTATACCCACTTCATTTTATCTCTGGTGGATAGTTGTCTCATTGGCAATCATTCCACATATAATTATTTTTATAAGTGTATACAAAATGAACACAACACTATAGAAACCTCATGCTTCCGAATCGCACCGCACATGTGATTCAATCCTCATCATTAACGCACCAAGCCCACAGCCTCCTTAAAGACTGCCAAAGTTTTTGAATACCTCGATCAGATTTATTGATGATGTCTTGTCACTAACATTCAACATTATACGGACATCATTAAGAGGGGGTCATAAGCCCCCATCACACTAGACATTAGCGCTAGCGTTCAAAGTTGGTCATGGACCTACACGATCATGAAGACTTGGCACGTCCTCACCACGACCACCACGATCTTACTTCGACTTCCGAAATTTCATTTGCAGATGTGATAATTACCAGAACACAAAGTAGAACGGAATGTTGTCAGATCCTTTTAAGCAAAGCGTTGACATATAATCTGTATTTTAATCAGATTGGAATATCACCTTGGTATCTTTGCGTGTTTTAGTTAATGATTGGTCATTAACGTTGCGTTACTGCATGCACACGTTAGTCTTATTACATATATTAAACTCATAACATAGAAAATGATGTTCAAACAACATAAGCATAATAATAGCATTTGGTTCATTTTATATATACCTGTTAATATTAATACAATGACACGCATCTGTGAAGTATCCATGATAAGCGGCTGTTTGAATTATTGAAAAGGGTATCCCTGTAAAGAAGGTAATACTATTGTTCAATATATACCTGTATAAGTATAACTAGTATAATACGCTTAAATTATGGAAGACTCATCTTAAATTTAGATGATCATACATCTAAAATTCTAAATATTGACTTCGAGTATATTTTCAACTACATGCATGTTAGCTTAAAACTCCTTCTTAATGAAGATCAAACTAACAAAATTTATAAGTGTTCATTTCATTCATTATCTATTTAACAGGCACATACCAGTTGATTGCATTTAAAATATGTAAAAAAAACAACAAAAAGAAACTAAATTTTGAGAGGCCTAACCTCTTTCCCGGATGTTTTCAGGAACACTAAAATTTACATTACTGTTCAATGTTTGTCAAAATTGAAACATAAGGCATACATTTAATAAGACAATACCAGAAAACACATCAGAAATATTTCATCAAATTTATCAATTACAAGACTAATTCAGATTTAATATACTTGAAAAACGACTGAGAGTTTTAAACATTACTAACTTAGAAACATAGTCTTTTTAATAACAAACCGAGTGCTATGAAGATAATTAGGATCGGTACATAAAATGAACTAACCTTATTTAAGCGCTTCATTTTTATATTTTTGAAAGACATCATTAGAAAGGCTGACATGGATTATACCAGCTTTATTGATAAATGCATAATACAGAGGACAGAAATACCTTAATATATAGCAAAAAAAACGTCTTTGCTCTAGAAATAAGTTTTGAGGTCGGTATCACCCTTCCTGCAAACTGCAATGTCTACATGTGATAACAAAAATAGTTTGGTTTTCCCTTAGACTTGCTAGAAAAAAGTCAGATTGAATATTATAATGTTTAATATAAACAATATGAAATCATGATTATAGAAATCATCATTTTTAGTCTAAAAATAATACAATGCGAAAATTTACACCAAACTTCCTACGGTTATACATGTTTTAATGTGTTTGATATACTGTGATAAAATTTGATACAGGTTCTAAGTATACTATTTGTGTTTAAATCGGTGTGTCTGTTCATTGGGACGATGAGCAATTCGCTGGCTTTATTTGAAACAGAATGTGAAGGTGTTTTTAAGACTATCTCCAAAGTACAGTGATCGCTGGCTTTGTTTGAAACAAGAATGTGAAGGTGTACAGTGACGGTTATAAATTAGTAGAATAATTGATTTTATTTCGACGGGTTAAACTCTTTGGGCTTTTACCAAGTAACTGTGAGTATTCTTTAATACGGTTTTATTTTTTTAACCCTTGCGTGTGTTTTCTTCTCTTATGCTAATACTACAGTGTTAACAGTTTTTTCTGTACATATATGTATTCCAATTTTTGTGTACGCTTGGTAGATATGCCAGTAATGAAATGGGGATGGATTGGATCTTATAATACTTGTTTAGCTCTGTCAGCATTTCATGTACCTGCCCCACTTCAAGAATAACATCATTGTTTTTTTTTTAAACATTGATCTATTTTTCACTTGGATAATTTGATATTGATGCTAATCACTAATAGTCTTTGTTAAATTTACGCACAACTTATCTCAAAATGATTTAGAGCAAGACATGTTGTACAGATGCCTTTCTATTTTGTAAATATATTTTGCATATTTGTTGATTGTGTCGTTGATAGGTTGGTGCATTTGCAAATGAATACTTAGATCATTTTGTACAGAAAAAAACCCTAAATGTAAACAAATCCATTAAATATAATCTATGACAGTAGAAGTCGCAACCTTAAGTGTTCGTTCGTTTTAAAAGCGTCAATGTCATACTAGTAATGGTCAATATTTTACTCCACCAGATGCGCAATTTGAAAATTATGACATCTTAATGCAAAATTGTTTGGAAATCTAATACCTTATACTAGCGTTGATGAGCTGATAAACCAAAAAGGACAAAAGTTGTAATGAAACCCGGACAAGGATTTATAACAATAAACGAGGGGAATCAATTCCTTTGTTTTAAATGATTTGAAAATGCTTTGACATCATTGTTTCATAAATAAACACGTATGATATCCGTGCGTATGTTTCATGAGTACTCTGTGCTAAATGATTTGAAAATCAAAACCTAAATACAGACGTTTAAAATCTGCTAAAACTGGAATGGCAAACAAACAATAGCCAAACCTGGACAATAATCCGTGCGTATGTTCCATGCGTACCGATGTACTGACTACTGGGCTTGGGATACCGTCGGAGGTTCACATTTTGTTCATTTCATTTACAGTGTTATCAAACCTGGACGTAATAACATTGTAAACGGTACTAATCTACTGCAATAGATGCATTTCAACAACATTTCAATTATTCTCTGTGCTAAATGATTTGAAAATCAAAACCTAAATACAGACGTTTAAAATCTGCTAAAACTGGAATGGCAAACAAACAATAGCCAAACCTGGACAAAAATTGTAAGAGAAATGCATTCATACAGGCAATCTTACATCAAATACATATAAACCGTTAGTGGAGGTTGAATGTACATAGTTACTTACAATAACTACGATATATAACTAACATAAATACAGTTTTCCGAAAGATACTTTGACTTGCATCATTTATGATTATAATGCCAATATGTTAAAAGTTAACAGAATCAATTACTATGTACTATATGATTAAACAGTAAACTACTAATAACAAGTACAAAATAAAAAAAATATACATTATTTTTTTACTTTTATCAAGAACAAATGAAGAATGAACATGTTTGACTTGTAAACAATGAATACATTGTAAAAATATGCAAACTCGATGAAGGTAGATTATTTAACCCAAATCAACCGTAAAAGACTATGAAAAATCGAAGTTACTTTGAATCGTTAAATATCTTAATTACAAGAAAATCAATTTTCTATTGTTAATTACTGAATAACCATATCATATTGTTTCCAATTTAATTATTGTACATGGTGGTCATCTAGCATACAATATAAACCAACAAAATAAAACAAACCACTGTCAAAATAGTTATGTTTACTCTATATGGTTTTTTTTTATACATTGTCAGTATTTATGTTATGCACAGAAGAAAAAGTTGAACCGAAATTGTTTGAGGGTTATCTATATAAGAAAATGCTTGTGGCAAGTCAGGAATATGACAGTTGTATTCCATTCGTTTGATGTATGTGTTTTCGCGTTTGATTTTGCCATTTGATAAAGGACTTTCCGTTTTGAATTTTCTTTGGAGTTCGGTATTTTGGTCATTTTACTTTTTAGAACAAGCAAATAAACATCTACAGCACGATATGACTTTAATGAATCTAACATATAACGTTTCAGCTAAATTTTAATCATACAAGAGTAAAAAGTCAAGGCGTATTACTTATACTAATTATAGTTTTTAAAAATGATATATGAGCAAAATTCGAATTTTTTGTATACACTTTCAATAATTATTGACAATTGATAGGAAAAGTCCGTTACTGGGTCTTTTATTACAATTCGTAACGTTTTATTCTATCATCTTGTTAAGAAATGGAAATGTGGCATGATTGACACAAGACTACTTTCAAACAAAAACCAACGGAAGTGGATGTAAATCACAGGGCACCAGATATCATTGAGTAAAACAGCATAATCAGCTTTACAATTTGTAACAACGAAAAGTTGATACAATTCAAAAGAGAAATCCATAGCCCGGTGTTCTCTAAAAAAAACAAATAAAAAAAAAAGTGAAAAAACGAAAAAAACATGACAGCCATCAACCAACCACAACACTGCATTACAGGATCCTGGTTTGGTCATGCACATAAATTATGCTGCCGAGTTAAAAAAAAAAAAACTAAGTTGGAACAGTCTTATACTCTCAACTTCTGAACAAACTGTTAAAATCAGTTGGGAAAGATTTTACAGCCAAAAAGCAATCAACAATAGGACAACCAAAGAAAGTCAAAATATTCCTAAACTCTGATATACAGGCTGGTGATATTCTCCAAATTTTGACACTTGATTGGTCAAATAAATCATTTCTTATGAGTACTTTTATTACTCTCAATAACTTTAAAGTAATTTGAAAGCTAATACACTATTTTGCTTCACTCGAGATCAATAATTCACCAAAACAATGATTTTGAGATAAAACAATAACACGAAAATATGCAAAATTTTTAAGTCAGGTAATTGCCAAATCAAGTGATAAATACATTAGAAACTGTCTAAAATTTAAACATGTTTACCTTTTTCAATATTAGGCAGGTAGCCGCAATGAACAGGTATGTCTTGTTTACAATGCACATATATGCAAAATCGATGAAGGTTAATTGTTTGACCTAAATTCAACCTTTAAATATTTTCGGAAAATCTAATATAAACTGAATAACATATTATCTTTAAATTACAGAAAACCAATACCACGAACGTAACTGATTAACCAGATGTATGATCGTTGCTGTTTATTCAGTTGTCTTACATGATGGTCATCTAATAGATGCATTTTTTTAGAAACATATCACAGACACATGTTCCCTTCTAAGTTATTTTAGCAGCCCTATCGTAAAACATTGCTCCATGATAATGTCAGAAGTCAGAAGTGTAAGATGTTAATGCATTTAAACTGAGCTCATTTACTTATATTGCTCCAATTACTTAACCTCTTAAATGTCAGAATTTGATAATAATATTGGGTAAGCAATTCAATTAATTGAAATAGTTATAAAGTTCGAGTAACTATAGATGTATCTGGAATATACTACATATGTTCGGGATATCATAATAATTGTTCTCAACCATGATACTTTGGTTCCCTTCTTTTTGAATTGAAACCTTCTTTAGATGGTATATTTAGCCACACTGCTCTTTACATGTAGGTATCCTTATTGAATTAAATCCATTGTGTTTTACCACCTTAAATTGAATAGTGCCACCCTCAGACTTTCAAATTATACCTGTATTTGTTTTTCCCGAGAATGAAAGTTTTTCGTTAAATGTTCGTTATAAAGGTCTGTTTCTCAGATACTTTTAACCGCAGGTCAAATAAATTCGATAAAGGCAATGA